TGTTTATTGATTACTTTGGTCAGCAACTAGCAAGCGTATCATGGTGCGTAGAAGTCGTATGGGTTTGAACATTTGGGATGTTTAAGTAGGTAGGTATTACAGGTTATTGTGAAATAAACATATCCAAGTTTCTAATAAGTTCTGAGAATCCTGAATCCGTGAGTCTATAACAACAACAACAATCCCAATTACCTATAAAATATCACAAACTAAGTAGGTAGGTATAATCTAATATTTATTTTAATAGCTGTCCATATTATTATAATCATGCTGATAGATTCATTTATACTATAGTAAGTATTTACATATAGTATAAATTACAATTCCTAATAATTTTTGTATTTTTTAGTCATCATTAATGTATATAAAATTAAAAGTCTAGTGAACTGTGGTGCTGATTTTTCCTATTTACACCACTGCACTTTTATTAATAACAACATGAAAGTATGGAACTTATAGTAACTTCACATATTTGTTATATTTAAACAGGCTAAAATTAATATTTGTTATTATATTGTTTTATTGTCTTATAAGGGGCGTCACTGTCATCCAAATTGCATGCCGAAAAAAAAAAAATGTAAAAATTGCATGCCATCTCTTGGAGCCTGTAGGGATCTGTCCGAATTGCATGCCTTCAGGGGCGGAGTGGGAACCAAATCCAGGCAGGGAGTTTAAAATTTATCCAGGCCACCCACCAAAATTTTTTTTCTCGCCAAGCTCGAATTTGATTTTTCTATTTACCTATTTGAAAACTACTTTTAGTATTATAAAAGTATTTCAATCACTATCTTGCTATTCTTTTTAACTTCTGTCTTCTAACACATTATATTAATACACTATTGCACTAAGTACTTATTCCTGAAAGTCTGAAAAATAAAATTAGTACTTAGTAGGTATGGTTTAATAGTTTAAATTTAAATCAACGAAATATTAATAATTATATTATACATTGTGTTTTAATTGTTTAGGTATAGTAGATATAAAGTAATAAGTAATAGATAGGTAAATACATACATTGTAAACAATATATAATAAAAAAGATTTATACATTCATAGTAATAATTTAGATAATAGATTAGATTTCTCACCAACTGCATTTATGATAATATTGTTATCTATTTCCATGATAATTTTATTTTCAATGGCCATAGGCATAAAAGACTCAAGATAATCATTGTTCATTGAATTTCTCAGCCTGTTTTTTAAATACTTCAATGTTTAAAATTGGTGTTTTATTATAAAAATAACCGACCTATATCTCAATATTATATTGCTTTGATTTTATTTGATGTCTATATTTATGTATCAAATGTTTTGTAATTTTATATCCAAAGCTTTCTCATAAGAGTATACGATTGTACGAGGCTATCACAATGTACCTACTATTATTGCATTAATAATATTTGTAAATTGTAATACAATAATTTAATAGAAACAAACATTTAGCATTAACTAATATTTTGTAAATTAAATTTAAAAAAAAAATCTAACAAAATGGCCAGGCCACCAGGCCATAGTATGGTCCAGGCCATCTGGAAAATTCCCATTTCCAGACCGGCCACTCCGCCCCTGCATGCCTTAAACCAAATGTTTATTTTTTATGCACTTAAACAACTTAAACTTTTTTTTTGGTCTTTCCTAATTTAAAAAAAAAATGCATGTATAGAAACGCTATTTTATCTATGGTTGTTACAATTGATTAGTTTCTAGATTGAAATGTTTTTATATCCGAGTAAATATTTTCCGAAACTGTATCTATATTGGAATAATGTAGTGTATTGTAGTCTGTTTCAAAGACATAGACATACGTGTATCGGTCACTCAAGTGTTTGTAGCTGTCAAATTTATAAGCTTTTACAATTTATAAGTTATTATAATATTATTACCTACCTACTATTATTATTATTGTTTTTTTAATGTTATATTATTATTATTATATTGTAAGTCAGAGGCGTGCTGAATAGTAATTTTTTGAGGCAATTGCCTCAGGGAAAATTCGGGTAGATGGGTGGGTACTGGGTGTGTTAGTACAGATGTGCAACTTATACCTAAAAAAACTTAATAATATTTATTATTTTGAATAATAAAAAAACTTTTGGTGGTGGGGTGGGGGATCAAATTGAATAGTTTGCCTCAGGTCTGCTTGTCAGTTCGGCACGCCACTGTTGTAAGTTGTACCTAACGTAATTTTTCATTGTAAATATTCCCCTGAAAAATTTTAACGGTTTTATAAAATGCTATTACTATTTAATTATTCAAAAAAATATGTTTCCGGTATTAGTATTATTATTTATTAATATATATTTTCCATATTGATATATTTTATTATTATGAACTATTATTATATATTTTGTGTGTTTGAAATGTTAAAAAAACCCAAATACTTTAAAACAATATTATTTATTTGAAATACTATGTAAACATGTAAAATACACTCACTTGATTACCCTAAGGCCTAAACTACAATAGTTTTATACTTTTATATAACTAATGGCCTTTGTTGTTGATGAAAAATAGTTTTATTTAATATTTATTATTCACAGTTTCACCTTCTACAATATTTATATATTTTATTGTAATGTAACAAAATACCGTTCCTCCAGTGGAAAAGTAAGTTATTTAGTCATTTTATTCGGACATACCCCTCTAAGAGATGGCATGCAATTCGGACAGACCCCTCCAAAAGACGGCATGCAATTTGGACATTCCAATTTATATTTATTTTTTTTTGGCATGCAATTCGGATGCACCGACCGTTTTCCTCCAAAATGTACCCTTCCCTTTTCTGCCAGTGTCAGTTTTTGGCCAAAACTGTTCCTTTTACAATTATAACAACTGAACTTAACAATTTTAGATTCTGAGTGGAACGATGAATGTATTGATTTTACAATGATGTGTGTTGTTTTTTTTAATTTTAATTTTTTTATTTCATTTGTGCCTGTGTACACGATAAGTAGTCGAAATAATGCTTCGATTTTCAACTTCAGTATCTTGTTCGATTGGAAAGTTAATATCGTTGGTGCATTGGGGAGGTTCAAAATTCTCAGTTATTTTCAAAAGCGCCAAGAAAAACAAAATAATAATTAAGGAAAAACGTTAATTTTTAAGCAAAATCAAATTTGGTTTTTGGTCTACATCTAAAATTTAAATGAAAACCAATTGAGCAATTTTCAAAAATTTATTTGGCAAAATCCAACCAAAAACCCAGATGTATTCAAAAATAAATAAAATTATTAAACTAATATTACCAGTTTCAGCTTTGAAAAGAAATAATATCATAATCAATGATTTTATACAATCACTCTACTTATTAGTTCCAAAAGAACTTATTTCAAATCCAATTTTATTATTAGTGTTAATTGTCATGCTTTATTTTTTAAAACCAATAATTGAATCAAAAATAATTCAATCATAAATAATTTGCACAGAGGATTATCTTCAATAAAATACATTAGCAAGTACAATATTAAACTTAATATTTATTAAATCACAAAGTTAAGAAATATTATATAGGTATTATAAGCATACATAAATTATTCATATTATTACTAAATACAGTAAAACTTATGTGTACAGTTATATATACATGCTTTGTGATATTTTATTATTGTACTTTTTTGTTTTTGTTTCATAGGTATTCTGAACCTACATCATAGGCGGGACTATACCTTGTTCGCAGGTCATGCACAGTAGTGGCATATTCAGGGGAAGTAGGTTTCTGCACCCCCCACTCACTAAAAAAAATTTTGTTTCGGTTTAAGGATATGACCTCCCAATTTCTTAATAAGCTTTATCATTATTAATTACTATCTAATACTTCAGAATAAAAAACAATATTTATTTTATTAGATAAATAAAATAACAAGGCAATATAAAATTGTATTTTAAAATATAATTAATGTGTACCTAATACTTTTTACAAATATTTTTATAATCACAAATGGTCTTAATACTTAATATATATTATAATTCTAAACGTCGTTTTGTTCCCTAATAGCACCGACCGTCCTAGGTACTTCCTACTTAGTTCCAAATTGTGTCATAGTAGGAATTTCCCGATGGGAACCGACAAGACCTTCCTAAGACCGTTCCATTTAGGTTAAAATATTTTGTGTGCTTATATATGAATTAAATTGTCGCTTCCTAGGATATAATTATAATATATATTATGTACAAAACTATGATATGTATATACTATATATAAATGCCATTTTGGTACCTACCTAATTTTTTACTACCTATACTATATAATATATGAGTTACCTATATATTGGTCTAAAAATAAATTAATAATATTATATATAATGATACTGCAAAAAATATAATAATGTTCTACCTATCTCATAAAATTCTGATTATTGTTTCCGAATATTAATTAATAGTATTCTATTAACTTTTGTAAATTACTGTTAATTACTTTAAACTTTGTTTAAAAACTATCATTCATTATAAACGACTATAAGACATTACGTCTGCTGTCAATATTTTTGTTATTTATTATTACTTTCCTCAAAGTTTTAACTAAACAATTAAATTAACAAAACTTGATATACTACATTTTTTATAATTGTAAAAATAATACGCCTACGACTTAACCCGTCGTTGGTATCGCTATGTAAAGTCCCGCCATTGGTATTGAGTGAGCGCTGCGCTCACCTTGTTGTTTTTTCATCATTATTTATTATATAATGAACATAAAATATTGAAACCAACAACGAATTATTTATAGTTTAAACTTTTACAAAAAATGTTCTTACAATTTTTCTCGATTATAAATTGTTAACCACTAAAAATTAATTTATAATTTTTTATACATAATTACATAATAAGATAATCATAATCATTCATCTTCGCCTTAGTGGTCTGGAATATTTTGCTGATTATTATACAGTACACATATAAATGTTGGGTGCTACTTAAAAATAGGTCTGAGTTTACGAAAAATTATTTGGTTGACCTATTACTCATATAAAAATATAATAAAATATTTGTTTAGGTACCTAAATTTTTCTTCTACTTTGTAGTGTAGCAAATTCATTGATAATATCATCAAATTCAATTTTAGCTGTTACATCAAATACTATATTCATAATAGCTAAATCACTGAGTCTCTCTGCTGAGATACAAGACCTCAGATATGTTTTGACACGTTTTAAACATGAGAATGACCGTTTGGTCGAGCAATTACTTGCAGGAGTACATAATAGCATTCTGAGAGATACATCTATATAAGGGTACATTCCTATTAAATCATTTTTTCTCAAAACACCACACATATCCTGGATAGTCTTAGGAGCCTCGTCACCGATACTTAATAAGTGGCTCCTAAAATGAACACATTCATTAGCAAATAAAGTACTGAGATCATCTTTATATTCATTTTGTAGTATTTCAGCATTCTTCCGGACTTTAATTGATGTCATCTCTGTTAATTTGAAAAAGAAGTTGTAATTTTTAAGTAGATTTTCATATTTTTCATTTCTTTTTTCTAGTTGTGACCGCAGTTGATCCAGTATAACAAAATAAGTTTTCACTTTAAAATCAGAGTATTCAACTGTTGTTTCTTTAGATGGCCCTTCATCAAAAAATTGTTTTCTTATTTTTAATCGTTTGGTACAGGATTGAAACTGCTTAATTTTACTTTTTTCAATTGCACATTGTTTAAAATACTCATAGTTTTTATCAGAGCGTAAATCAATGATATATGTTATTAATGATTTATACAATTCACACACTACACCCAAATCGATATTGACAGCTTGTAATTTCTTGCTCGTTAAGTTGAATCGGTGTAATATTTGACCCCAGAATATAGATAGGAATGCAGTTTCTAAATTATTTAACTTGTTGAGAATTCCACTAGCTTCATTTCGAGTAAGTGTTTTCTCAGTATCATCATTATTTATTAAATTTAATGCATTAATAATTAAAGACCAGTTTTTGTTCAGAGATTGGCAAGCGTCATCTCTAGCAGACCATCTTGTTTCTGAAAGTCCCTTAACAGAAGCGTTTAGAACTTTCCAGCGGTGAGTAGAAGCTGTGAAAAACGTGTAAACATTTTGAAGTAAATTGAAGAATAAAACGGCTTGAGTACAACAATCAACTGCATTAGTTCCAACCAGGTTAAGGGAATGCGCAGAGCATGGTACAAATTTTGCTAAGGGATTGGCTTCTTTTATTTTTGCTTGCAGTCCGGCGTAATACATTAGTTGTTTTAATTTCAAACAGCATAATACATTAATATTATATAATACCTACTGTTGTCTGTTATTAAAATAATTTACATTTTAAAAGTTCATTTTTCATTTTATTTTTATTAATTTTTTTATTTCCGACCACAAAATTTCGGCGCCCCCAAAATACTGGCGCCCCGGGCAGTTGTAGCCAGTGCCCCCCCCCCTAAATGCGGCACTGTACAGACTTACAACCTACCTATACTTATTCATCACTACGACACTACCTATATTATAATAATTATAGTAATAATTTATAGTTTTATATCATCGATTAATTATTATACAGTTATTGTTCAAAGTATATAATATATAGTTATAAATTATAATGATTTATGAGTATAGGTAACTTTTAACTTTTAAGTAGGTACCTACAAAATCCCTGTTCCTATTATTAGCTGTACCATTGATTATAGAATAGACTATTATTCTATTCTATAATCAATGGCTGTACCTATGACATTAATTTTTAAGACTGCAAATACCTAATAATATATGCATACATCATTCTGACTACCATAATATAAATCTAAATTATGTGCGTATATAACGCGTGTATTATTGTGTAGGTATATAATATTTATCTGTAGGTATCTACTAGGATTTCAATATTTCATTCTCACCTACTACAACAGTAAATACAACTATGTACCTATACTAATAAGTAATGTAACTAAATTGGTATTCAGTATATTAATATTGTATCGTTACTTTGACTTGGCATATTTAATTCAACACAAATCATTGTGAATCGTGATATTGTTATTAAATGTAACTGTCTGTATAGACGTATAGTACATACTGACCATACTGTCATACTGATTAGTGATTACTAATAAGTGATAAATATAATATTTACTTATGTGTGGCAGACGTCTATAATAATAATATTATAATATTAAATTGGTATAATATTATTTTTAGCCATTGCTTATCGCGTTATAGCTGCAGGCCGCCTGGGTTTTTTTTTTATAATTCTGCATACCCCGCCCTTGCCACCTTCCTACAAGTTCAACTGTATTATGATTTATGTTCGTATTTGTCCGTTGTCGTTCGATTTAGATATCACCGTGCGCGTAGAGTGTTGTAGACGTCCGACGTCCATATGAGTATATGACCATATCCAATACCCTCGTGGCTTCGTCAAGTTCGTCGTCTTTTCATAATAATTTGTCTTGCATACGCGTTGTGCACTATATTATTATATAGTGCCGTTCTGTGAGCGTTCTGTACGCGTTTGCTGTTCCGCCATCCACCATGTCTAGCTCGGAATCAGAAGATATGCGGGAAATGGAGCGAAGTAATGATGTCAGGTAATTATAATAATTTGTACAAGTACTTACGACCTACCGTAAATATTATATTAGTTTTAATATAATATTGTTACGTATCGCTTTTATTTAAAATGTTTCTACCTGTGTATAATATGATTTATCATTAAGTAGCTATGCATTACCTACCTATTGTTTATACAATAGATAGGTACGAGGTACCTAATAAATATCAATAATTAAGCTAGTAGAATATTTTAATTAATTATTATCAATAACGTTTTCTAATTGTCTCCATGTATACGTTGGTACAACATACTTATATTATCTAAATAGGTAACAAATTTGCGTAGGGAAGGCAGAAGCAATTTTGTTGTTTTAGTATTATTATAAAAAAAAAAAATAGCGACTGTTTACCTACCTACCTATATAATAAATATTATTATCAAAAGCCAAAAAGTATAAGATCTGTGTTTGCATGTTCATTTTTTTTCAATTTTTCAATTTTTAAGCTAGATACCTCCTATAAGAATTTTTATTTTGTGATTTTTCATATTATTATACATTTATACATTTATACACATATCCCATAAATTAAAATATTCAAATAAACATGAAAACACAGATAATATTATTCTTAGTTTTAAGTTTAATAGTTTGTCAATCCATTAACCATTGTATTATTAAAACTTACAACACAAAATTGTTTCTGATTTCTGTTGAAAACATTTTCTGTCATAAGTTATGTATAGAGAGAACACATGCTTCTAAAATCATACAAAATAACATGTATAAAGCCGCGTCCAGACTAGACGACCAAGGGTATCGAAGGCACATGTGACGACCTTATTCGGAGATATTGGTATTGGTGTGGACAGCGCTACCGAACGAACGCCAACGGTGAATTTGCCTTCGGTTGCCTTCGCTCGGCAAGCGGTACATCAAAAGGAATTCGTTATCGGTTCGGACACGATTTGTCGATATTTTAGTATTCGTTGACATTTGGTCCGAACTGGTGTCTTTTTGAATTAAATATTTAAATAATTGTACTTATTCATTTAAAATTTTAAAATGGATTGGAGTGATAAACGATGCATTCAACTAATACATTTATATCAAGAACACCCAATACTATGGGATCCAACAAATTTTGAGTATAAATTAAACAAAAAAAAATTTGATGTATGGTGTGCCATTGCAAAAGACATGAATGCCGAAGTTGTTGATATCCGCAAAAAAATGGAAAGTTTATTAACTTCATTCAGGCGAGAACGGCAGAGAGAAGGAACTACATCTGGAATGGGCAAAGACGAGGTGTATCACTCACAATGGTTTGGGTTTCAGTCCATGCAATTTTTGAACGATAAGTTCAAGCCTAGAAAAACAAAAAATACAGAAACTACTTCAACTAAAGATGTAAGTATTACAATAGTTTAATTTATTATTGTTCATATATTTTAATTTTTAACCATAACTTCACATTTTTAAATATTAATCATAAGTTATCATTTATCATTTATTTGTTAATAATAGGTACAAGTAAAATAAGATAATATTGTGTATAGTTATAAATAACCTATTAAAAAATAAGATAATATTGTGTATAGTTATAAATAACTTATTAAATTAATGATTAACATTAATTATTCATATTCATCTTGCCACTGGAGTTTTCCATTTGTTACGAAATACTCCGCAAATTCCGTTCTTATTTCTTCCACGCTTTTAGCCGATCTCCTCCCAACTCTTTGAAATGAGACAAAACTACTAGTTTCACCTTGACACGTGTTTCTCCAAGTACCCTCTCTGATTTCGCCATTTATTTCCGAATCAAAAGTTCCATTTGGTGTATATATATTTTTTGATATTTTATTTTTTCTCAAAAAATTATGCAAGTAAACGCATGTCATTACTACACGCTCTGCTTTATCGGGCTCTAATAATAGTGGCCTTCTTAAAACTCTAAAAATAGCTGACAAAATTCCAAATACGTTTTCTACGACTCGTCTTGCCCGTGATAATCTATAATTATATGATCGTTCCCTCGATCCTTTTTGTTGAAGACCTGAATATGGCTTCATAATATTATATTTTAAAGGGAAAGCATCATCTGCGACAAAAACGTATGGCACTAATTTTTGTCTTCCCTCTAATAAGCTTTCTGTAGGTAAATTTAGTTCATTTTTGTCAAGTTTTTGAAACAGAGACGTATTTCTAAATACGCCTCCATCAGAAATTCGACCTTCACATCCAACATCGGCGTACAAAAAATTGTAATCAGCGTCTACAAGTGCCATCAGAACAATACTAAAGGTTGATTTGTAGTTAAAAAAGTTACTACCACTTGTAGCCGGTGCTTGTATTTGTACGTGTTTTCCGTCGATTGAACCCACGCAATGTGGAAAGTTCCATTGCTTTTCATATTCGTCAGCAATTTTTAACCAATTTTCTTCTGTATCAGGCATCTAAAATTAAATTAAATAATTGAAAAAATTGTGGTTATATATTTTTAAAATTTTTTTGGAACCCTTTCATACAATTTTCAAGTATTTCGACTCGGCAAAAATGTTTTATCAACAGATATAAAAAATACCTAAAAATAATCAAATATTACAAATACCTATAAGCAAAATATTTTGAAAATTAAAATATTTAAAGAAAATACTAATTTATGAATTTTTAAATATTTCAAGTTTTTACGACTAGTACTTTCTTAGTAATAAATAGAGCTGTGAATTTAATGCACTATAAAACCTTAAAAAATGCATTTAAAATGTCAAAAAAATGCAATAAAATATAGACTTAAAATGCAAAAAAATGACCTAAAAAATTAAAAACGTCAAAAATGCAAAAATATGCAAAATAAATGTTTTATAGATAGATTCGTAGTTACATAATTCAAATTATGTACTAACAAAGCTATGTTTTTCAATCACCAAAAAAAATGCACTTTCCTATAAATTCACAGCCCTGGTAATAAAAATCTAAATTAATATTTGAACGTTAAACGCTAATAAAAAAAAAATTTGTTTTACGATTTTTGATTTTTTTTTTAGTTGCGATAAGTTAACTTATAAGAAACTTTGTATTGTAAATTGTCTTAAATTAACAAAAAAAAATTCAAAATATTTTGAAAATGTTTCCGTGTATTTTGTCGAAAACTGATTTTTCGTAAACATTCCCGTTTTTCCGATACGTAATTTAGGGTTTATACTTTTTCCTGACGCTTTTTTAAACTACTGGGAAATTTTACTTTTTACAACCCCCCCCCCAACCCTCTGAAAATAATATTTAGTAATTTTAATAATTTAATGCAGATTGAATGTGATTTGATCGACGATGATGGTGTATCAGAGTTTTTAAGTACGGATGAGAATATTGCAGAAGAAAGTAGTAATAGCAATAACGAACAAATATCTCCTACTTTGGGATTACATACACCAAAACCACAAATTACAAACAAACGAAAAATATTTGTCTCACCACTAGAAAAAAATGTGTCAAAAAAAATCCAACGACCAGAGGATCCAAGAATAAATGAAGCGTTTAATTTATTAAAAACTATCGAAGCAAAAAAAAACGAACGTTCGATTAAAGACGATGACAGTGATACGTATGGGAGGTATATAGCGAGTGAACTTAAAACATTTGACGAACATACCCGAGCTCAAATTAAACATACATTTAATAATGTTCTATATGAAGCACACATGAGTAAATTTCATACACAAATGCCACAACAGCCAGCTCTTCATTGGAATTACACTAATTCTAAAGCACCTTCAGCAACATTTCGTGCATTTAGTAATCAACAATTTTATCAACAAACAACTCCGCATCATTATCCATCAACATCACAGGAGCCTATTCGTAATATTTTTGATAATCCAATCACTCCACAAGAAAATAGTTTGCATTCTTCGGAGTCCTCGGCAAGTTCCTATTTTCAAACTTTTACAGATCAAAATACTGATGTTTTAAATAATAACTAGTTATGATGAATATTTGAACTGTTAAACTATTTTTTATTTTTTATTTGGGAGTTCCAAAATTTTATAAGTTTTATTTTTTATTTGGGAGTACCAAAATTTTATAAGTTTTATTTTTTATTTGGGAGAACCAAAATTGTATAAGTTTTATTTTTTATTTGGGAGTACCAAAATTGTAATTAACTTGATTATTTTTTTTCTTAATAATTTTGTTCAATAAATTGAAAATAATATTAGTATTTATATCAATATGTTTTGGTGTATTGTATTTTTATAATTACCTTGATTTGATCTTGCAGTACTTGAATAATAGCTTCGCAAACTTCAGGAACTACTGTTGAAATTGTTTGTTTTGATATTTTAAAGGTCATTGCTAAACTGGAAAAAGAGTTCCCAGTTGCTAAAAAATGTAAGGTTAAGGCTAGTCGCTCTTGAGGTGGTATAGCCTTTCTGAAATTCGTGTCTTCTTTTTTAATCATAGGCGTGATCATTTCTAGTAATACGTCAAATGTAGCTGGTGGCATTCTGCAGAAGTTATTAAAATGACCAGAATCTTCTCTTCGCAAATCCTCTAGTAAATTACTACCACTATAAAAATTATAAATATTAATAATTAATATTTTCAACTAGGTACCTATTTAGTTTACTTACCTATAAGTTATTCGACTTTTAAATGTCGAAGTCATCCACCAACGCCTGTGCCTTCTTTTTTTTTTTTCTTCTTTTTTTAATATTGAGTTCATTATCACAAAAGCAGCACTTGCCATTAATAAGTCGTCGTCACTTGATGACATTTTATTTAAAATGTAATATTTTTAGTTAAATATTAAATTTTAAAATTTGGAAAGTATAAAATAAAACTTATAGTTATGTGAGTTCGCAGCATAAACAAGCGAAGGCTTCCAAACACGGACTAACGACGAATTCGGAATGAGTTTGGACAGTATGCCAATGCTCTCAAATCTAAGTACAGCCCACACCAAATGTGTTGACGTTGGCGTTCGGTTGCCTTGGTCGTCTAGTCTGGACGCGGCTTAACTGGCATGTAGGTATATGTTACCATACCGGTATACCTCAAATCATTAATATATAGGTAGTAACCTAACCTAACCAGAGATATTGTGATGATCATTTTATCATAACATTAGTCTAGTATTTAATTGTTAGCTACTATTTAGTATTCATAGTTTAAAAGGTTAGGTTTTCATTAAAAATTAATTTGTAAAATAAAGTAAACCAATAGGTAATTAACTCAATAATTCCTCTCAATATAAAACAAAAAGTTTCTGTTTTAAATAACATTATTTATATTTTTGTTTTTATTATATTTAGGGATTTACGTCCAGTAAATGATATTTCCACGAGACAGTTGAGACGTAGAATTCAAAAGCGTATAAAAAATGTAGGAAATATGTTGTTTCCTAATGTTATTAATACTAATATAGAAACTAATGATAATCATAAAATAATAAATCCGCCTATTGATGATAATGCATCTTTGAACCCTGAAAATATAAAAATCATAAATCAAGAAAATAATTTCTCTACTCATAATAATGATTTAAATACTATAATACCATTTAAATTTAACTCAAATTCAAAAGAATTACCTTTGAACGAATTATTAGCAACATGGGCAGTTAAAGAACGCATAAGTCATACATCTTTACGCAGTTTATTAAAAGTTTTACAAACTCATCCTTGTCATAGTAACTTGCCTAATGACCCCAGAACATTATTAAACACTCCTCGATCAATGCAAATTAAAGAAATAAATTTTGGACATTATTGGCATTACGGATTGGAAAAAGGAATAGTTAACATTTTAAATAACTTTGAACAATATCAGAATGATAAAATTGAACTTATGATTGGTGTAGATGGTCTCCCAATAAGTAAGTCATCTGGTAGTCAATTATGGCCAATTTTAGGAAAAATTTTAGATTTTAACAAAGTATTTATTATTGGCATATATCATGGTAGTTCAAAAAAACCTGAATATGCTTCTGAATTTTTAGAAGATTTTGTTAATGAAGCTAAAGAGCTTATTGAAAATGGCTTGGAAAATAATGGTAAAATATATAAGTGCTGTATTAAAATTATTTGTTCAGATGCTCCCGCAAAGTCTTTTATTTTGGGTGTTAAAGGACACACGGGTTACTCGAGTTGTACCAAATGTGGATGTAGGCAAATATATTAAAACAAGAATTTGTTTTTCTGATATTCCAAGTAGAAAGCGAACAGATGAAGAGTTTATCTTTAAATCTGATGAAGAATATCATTTGAGGACTAGTATATTAGAACAAATACCACAACTTGGGCTAGTTACTAATATTCCATTAGATTATTTACATTTAGTGTTACTAGGAAATATGAAGAAACTTATTATTTTATGGTGTTGTGATGATTTAAAAGTTCGTCTTCCATTCAGTAAAATAAAAAAAGTGTCTGATTTTATAGAGAAAACAATTAGACCATATTGCCCATTTGAATTTCAAAGAAAACCAAGAGGTATATGGCATTATCGGCAATGGAAAGGGACGGAATTTCGCCAATTATTATTGTATATTGGACCAGCTGTGTTTAAAAATATTTTAGCTCCCAAAGTATATAATAATTTTCTTTCGCTACATTTTGCTATATCAATTTTAGTTTCTAAAAAATTATGTTCTCAAGAATGCCATTTAGTTTATTCACAAGAGTTATTACAACACTTTGTTTCAACTTTTAAAGTAATTTATGGTGAACATCATGTTTCCCATAATATACATGGCCTATTGCATATCGTAGATGACGTTAGAAATTTTGGTTTCTTAGATACATTTAGCACATTTGCATTTGAAAATTACATGCAAAAATTAAAATCAAAAAAATATGATAAGCCACTTCAACAAATTGGACGACGTCTTCAAGAAATAGAGACTAATTGTGGAACTGATTTACATAATAATTTTAATGAGAAACAGTCATATGTGTTAAATGTTCATACAAATGGACCACTATTAGAAGGATGTGTAGACCCTCAATATTCAATATTTAAACTTAATGGTATGAAAATAGTTATTCAAAATAAGGCTAATAATTGTTGTGGATTAGACAGTGGAGAAATTATTCTTATGGAAAATATTTGTTACAACACAAAGTACAAAGACCATGTTGTGATTGGAAAAAAGTTTTTAGAAAAAAGAGCTCTGTACACTCTACCATGTTCATCAACTCATATTGGTATTTACGAGGTATCAAAATTATCACATAAAACCGATATGTGGTTATTAAAATGTGTTATTCTAAAATATTATTGTATTCCAATACTCGGAAATTATAACAGTTTTGCAGTTTTCCCTCTTTTACATGTAGATCAAGATGAAAGACCACAACTTTAGCTATTCAACAATTAAACATAAAATAAAAAAATAAAAAATTTTAAATTTAAAAAATATTTACTGTATATAACTGTATATTTACCTAATAATGTATATTTTAAATAAACATTAATATCATCAATATATATTTTAATGTTGACAGAAAATATGTTGTGGTTGAGTTTAAAGATGGAGTACAACTTGTTCCAAAGAATTGGATATTATTCAACAAGTCCCTATCTTATTTTCCAAATTGTACAGAAATGAACTCAAGAACATATGATAAAATGATCTTCAACAGTGTGCCGTATAAATCTAATTGGAATACATTTAAAATTGTTAAAATTTGGTCTTCATCAGGTACTAGTTTAGTTCATAGTTCTATAATCTAAAATTATAAAAAAATTTAATATTTTTTAAACTTATTACTTGTGAAGATGATTTCATTCGAGCCAAGCAAAAATTAAAGCTTGCTATTGAATTATCGGAAACTGAAGATATAAATTCAGAATATGATGAAAAATTATCTAAAAACAAAAGAAGAATATTGGCTGCAAAAAGAGCTAAGCATAAAAGGATTTCTCCCGTAAAAAATATTCAACAAACAACTCCAAAAAAAACAACTATTTCTCATTCTTTATCAAATTACCCATTACCGAAACATCCATTTTCAAAATCACTTGCAGGTAATATATTGCAATATGTATGTAATGATCAATGAACGTCCTTTACAACTTAATACGTACTGACTATACTGACACCAACTAAACACTTAAATTATAGGTTGTAACTAAATTGTTATGTATTAATGTATACTTCAGATGATGATGATCAATTTGTTCAGCATGACAAAGGTAATGCAGTCCCAGTTTGGTCAATGTTGGATAGCTCCAATTATAAGACGTCTTCAGATAAATATCTTACAGTTCGTTATCATTATCAAAAAGTATGTTTTTACTTTTAGTAATTATAAATATTTACTATATTTAGGTAATTCATATGCTACACTCCTACTCAATAATTGATTAAACTTCATGAAATAGATATCCATAGTATATGTGCTTTTCTTAATTAAATTCATAAAAATATTATTTTCCTAAGTTGATGACATATGTACAAAGTGGGGACACAGAAACGGCCGACTTTCAAAGTGTAGTTGTACCTAAAGTATAAAAAGGAATAAAAGTCAATTATTAATATATTAGAAACAAGTACCTACATATAACGTACATGACATTTTTTTTTAAAGAATATTTCCTTAAAATGACCATCTATTTTTATTTTTCCTCACATGTTTTCTACTAAACTCTGGTAGGTAGCTTTGCCTTATTGGCAATTTCTACTCTAATTTTGAAAATTTAAGTTATTTTATTTTAACATATAACAATTATTTATTGAAAAAGCATTGTGTTTACCACTCCAGTGCTCCATATGTTTACTAAATGGCCTAATGATTTTAAACTAATGATATTTAAGTGAGCATTCTTATTTTAAACTATTATTGAGAAAACACATTTTTAAAATCGGCCGTTTCACAGATCTATCCTGTAAATAATATTTACCTAAACATTTTAACAAAATAATTATATTATATTTTTAAAGCATTAAAAAAGTCACCATTAAAACAATCAATGGGCGGTGATCATCAAACAAATAATCATATTGCTAAAGTATAATATTATTGATTCGTTTTTATAACTATTATTTAAGTTTATTATGATTCAAAATATATTTTTTAATTTTTTAGGTGCTTCCAAATCTCCTATAAAGTCTAAGAAGATAGATGTGGACAACATAATATGTATTAATAATAGTCCTCTGCATAGTAAGTATAGTGTATATAGTTGCTATAAATTAATTCATAATATTATATTAAATTACTTTTGAAGTTTCTAAAAATCATTATTATTATTAAATTAGAAAAATTAGAAAAATTAGAAAATTAGATATACTTGAAAGTATAATACAACAGTTAACTAATTTATATAAATATTGTTTTTATTGTTTAATTGATGAACTAAAATATATTTTTAGGTGCTTCCAAATCTCCTATAAAGTCTAAAACAATGGATATTGAAAAAATAAGTTTTAATAATAGTCCTCTGCATAGTAAGTATAGTGCATATAGTTAAATACATAGTTTAAGTATAATACAATTATTAACTTTTTATTGTTTAATTGATGGATTAAATTATATTTTCAGGTGATACCAAAGGTCCTATAAAGTCTAAAATGATAGATGTTGACAACATAAGTATTGATAATAGTCCTCTGCATAGTAAGTATAATGTATACACTCTGATTTCATTTAAATAGTAAAATAATTTTAAACTTTCTAAGAATCATTATTATCAAATAGATCAAATTCTGAGCATGCCACTGTCACCATTCATAATTTCAACTGTCCTTAAAACACCCAACACAAAAACTATTTCTATTAAAAAGAAGCTATTTTCATCTCAATCACCAGCTAAGCAGAAATCTAAAGGTAAATAATTGCTAAATGATTCATTATACCTATTGATAATATTCAATAATACATACATTAATTTTGTGTCGTGTCTATACTCTACTCAAAATAAGACCGTGACTAAGCAGCGACCAGTTTTTGTCGGGCAGCGGTCAGACATATGGCCAGATGCCGTCCCCACTACGGCGACACGTCGGGCGCTGCCACGGAACAAAGCCAGTCTTATTTTGAATAGAGTATAAATGTTTGTAATTTATTTATTAATTACCTAGTTTAAAATTATCAATTTATGAAGTTTGTTAATGATATTTCAGACAAAGAACAAAGCTTACAATATACAGTAAATATTGTTACAGAGTTAAGCATAAAAGTGAATAAAATTTTGTTGAACTTAAGTAGACAAGAAGAAATGCTTAAAAATATCTTACATAAAGTCCATTTTAATAACGAGAATGATGAAACTATTAATGGTGATGATGCAATTTTGGAAGGTTTTCCCATAGACAATCTTGATTGTTTAAAAGATATTAATAATAAATTAGCAATTGATAAAATGTTTTGTAAGCAGTTGGTATGTATAAAATACTTTTATTTTATATTAATTTTTTTGTTGCCATGACTTAGTTGTTTTACTTTTTATAGATGAAAATGTTAAAAGAGTTTCGTGGTTATAGTGTTAGTAAAGTAACAAAATCCATAATGGACACAATATTTACAAATAATCTTGGAAGGCAAATTTCTCTCACTGGAAAAGGGCCAATGAACAAAAAAGAGAAAGAACCACTTAAGAGCTCTATGATTTTCAAAGTTATAACAGGTTAGATACATATTAAAATAAAAAATATTTTTAAATTATTTATAAAGCGTGATCTCGATCTGAAAATATATTATATTGTGTCATAATAAAGAATTATTATTTTGTATTTTGTTTTAGGAGTGATTCTAAAAAATGTCAAGGATTCTAATGTCTCAACTATCAACAAGGCGGTTTCTGGATGGCTAAAACATTCTAAAGAGCGCTATCAAAGGGATGTTCATAATAATAATCATGTTAATACATAATTATATAATCCTTCAGTTTTATCTTATCCATTATATTATACACTTTTTATTTAATATTAATATGATGAGTACATTATTTTATTTTTATTTTTAATTGCATAAAAAGAATTATGTCCAATTACATTCATAAACAAATACATTCAATTTTATAAATATCTATGTATGTAATATTTATTTTATATTTTACATTATTATCTTTTTTTTTTTAATTTCATAAAAGGAATTATGTCCAATTACATTCATTAACAAAAATATTCAATTTTATAAATATAATGTATGTAATATTTATTATATTATATCTAGTAGTTATTATATTATTAAAATAAACAATGTATATATTTTTTATTTTCACTATTTAATAAATATTATGTACCTTCATTAAATGTTAAAATATTTTATTTATATCAATGCTTATAATGATACATATAACATAATATTATAGATGAATGATGTATTGAGATGAGGAACGTTGTGAGCTTTTTGTGGTAAGAATAGATGCCAATAAGATTTTTAAAAGAAAATTTGAAAATTAATATATTGTGTTTAGGGTAGCCACCTCTCCGGGTTTCACCCGGAGAATCAGGGGTTTACGTATAAATCTACGGGCTCCGGGTTCAGTGAATTATTCTCCGGGTCAGAGATAAAGATAAGATAACATACGATTTTTTATTATTATGCCTTTTTTTTTTCATTGGTTTCCGGTATAAAAACCATTTATTCAAGATAACAAGAATAATACGATTATGAACTACGGTTTATGATTTTATGAGTCTACGATTACGATTTTACGAATCTGTTTCAACATCACAGTCGAGTGTGTTTGATCGAATCCGAATATCTGCTTTTAATTTTTGTGTCAGTGTAACCGTGCATCGATATTATAAAACTACACAGAATTTGAAAAGTAATTCATTAATGACCACATTTATGACTAAATGACCTTTTTTTTTTTTGCTTATCGGCCTGTCTCCGGGGCTGCTTTCTTTCAAAGGTGGCAACCCTGATTGTGTACCAATTTTCGTATTTTATAAAACTATATTAATTACCTATCAAAACAAAACACAATGGACAATACATGGATTCAAATTAAAAAATATATATTAAATTACAGGTTAAAATAGGAAATATATGCTGAAGTAGTGGCAAAAACAGAAATTTTTTTAGGGGGCCTTATTCCCCAGTGTTTTTTTAGTTTAAATACCTAACCTATTAATATTTTTTAGGGGTTTCTGGGAGTATTGGGATATAAGCCTCCCCCTATTTGCGTCATTGCCCTCATAGGAACTAAAAATACCACAAATAGGTAGCTTTTGTAGTGGATTTAGGAAGTGTGTCGACCATTTCAGGAAGCTAAGTAATACTCGAATAAGACCATTTTTGGAACCAGTATAACCTATTTAGGTGCTATTAAGGTATTATCACGACCCAAACAAAACTCATTTAGGTACCAATATGACCCGTATGGGAGTTGAGTTCGGTTCGATTCCTGTTGGGAAGGTCGGAAGGACTGTCGGAACTCGGACATTTGGAAGTCTATGGACCGTCTTAAGACCTTCCCGTACAGTCTATGACTGGAATAGGAAATTCCTGTTGATGGTCTGTGGGTCACAAAAGACCGTCCATAGACCTTCCTGAGAGGATATTTTGGCTATTAGGGTTGGTATCATCACTTAAAATTCCTCGTTAACTTCGTCTTAATTAATATTTGTTGTCATCTGTTGTTCTATGAATAGAAACATTAAAGCGTAAAGTCTTTCTTGAGTCATGGTGCTGCAGAGTTTTATTTTTACAATTGTCAGCTTAGAAAATGCACGTTCGCATGAACAAGTTGTTACCGGAATAGTGGTAAAAAGTACTATTACTTTATTGAAGTGAAGAAAAATACAAGTTCTATTATTTGAATTTAGAAAATCAATCCATTGATGAAGTGTTTTAGAAGTGGTTCCACAAGGGAAGCATTATCAATAATAAATTGTAATAGATATTAAAAGTCCACAATGAAAATCAAAAAATTTAATATGAAATCAGAATCTAAGAAAAGAAGTGTATATTATTATGTACCTTAATTTATAATGTAAGTTAGATCAAATTTCGCAGGTCATGCCTGTGCATGACAGGCAAGACCCGTAGACACGCCTATGACCTACATAGTAGGATCCATACCAAAGGCATATTCTACTCAGTCTCCCATAAATTACTTTTTTTTTTATTTACATACAAACATAAATTAAATCAAGAAATAAATATTATATAATTTAAAATACCAAAAAATTTGTTATTTATTTTGGCAACCCTCCCTGGAAAAAAACAAATAAATTACAGGTATAGATAAAAAGATATTAACATAAAAACCATAAAGTAATATTAGATTAAACTTAATAGTAATCAACCCTAGTTATACAAACTTATATACCAATTTAAGAAATATCAAAATATAAAAGCATAGGTTATACATATTTTTTTTTTTTAATAAAAATATTTTCATGAAAACACCTTTAATATAAATAAATTAAATTAAAATATTTATATATGTAATGGAAAGTTTAGGGTCTCTTCTTTTGCTTTACCAGTTGTTGGCAGACTTTAAAGTGACTATCATGCCAGTCAAGGCCCTAAAAGAAGAAAATAGACATTAATATTAATATATAACAACAGTTTAGTTATTTAACAAGTATATTCAAATAGGTATTTTTACTTGGCATTCATCGGAACAGTATTTCACCGATGTACAGATACTGCACATTATTGTTGCAGACTTGGTACAATCTCTCACGTAGCACTAAAAAAATAACAACAAACATTTTTTAGAATATTAAAATTACTATATCTTTTAAAAACTTATTAGATGCCTCTAAATTAAAATCCAAACTAGTAGTTTCTCAGTAATTAAAATGTATATGTTAAGAATAATAATCCATAAATATGACAAAAGTATAAAATGTATTTAATGTATAATCTAAAACTGACAGTAAATTCCTTTTAAAAAGTAATACAATTACGTTACTCATTAAATTAAATATTTTCATTTAAATTAGGTACATTCGCATTACCTACCCGTCATTATTTTTATCACGTTCCATTTTTATAAACTAATTACAAAATCAGTACATAATGACTAATAAGTTAGTAATAACTAATATGAATACTAATTGAAAGCATGTTATTAGTACCTACTTTTAGCATGGAGTTTTAAAAACCACAGCCATGAAACAAAACAAAAATTAGTGTAGTACTTTAACAGGCTATATAGATTGGTTAAATATTTTAAACTAGTGTTTAAAAAACAGACTTTTAAGTCATCTGTTCATAATCTTATATTTTGTTATACAAATAAGTATTGTTAAGCTTTAGTAAAACCAAATGTTTAGAAGCAAATAACTTTTATTGTATTTATGTTATCAAATACAGAAAGATAAAAGTTGTTCCAAGCGAAACAGTTTTTGCTATGTTGTACATTTATAAGACGGAGACAACACATGCGGGTGTGACATTTTCTTAAAAAAATATATATTGATGAATTTTACTTACTTTGGCCATACCGTCTGGCTGTGGTTTAATAAATGTTTTAGCTTTATTGATTACTGCTCTCATTTGACCTGTTGGACCCTTAACCAATTTATATGGTCTGTTGCCAACTAAAATAGTGCTAACTTCAGCTCTTTGAAGAGCACCGTTTACCATAGAAATATTAATCGGAACTGCTGGTTTGAATGTCAAAAATGTGGTTGTTGTTGCTGGTATTGTTGTTGCAGATTTTGACAAAGATGCTGTTACTTGCACCAAAGGACTGTGTGAAATAGTTGGCGCGACAACAAAACATTTGTTTGTTGGTATTACTTTAGAAGTAGAAGGTTCCAAATTTTTATTTTGTAGTGAAGAAGAAAATGATTGATTGAAGTTATTTAACGGCTGGCCCGTTAAAATTTTTGGTTTTATTGCAGTATTACCAATGGTTTGGGTCTTATTACCATTTATCACAGGTATTTGTCTAAAAATATAACAGAGCTAATTAATACTGGAATTATAATTTTAATTGCAATAAATATATACAATTTCAATTCATTAAGATAGTAAATGTTAGTTTAAAAAACTAGTAATTTAATTAATAATAATTATAATATACCTATATTTAAACCTTTTACAACTTAATCAAAATTAATCTGAATATTACAGATGTAGTTAAAGTAACTAAAAGTTTATACAGTTAATCCTAATTTAAAATCTTTGATTGTTATTTTAACTACAAATATGATTTTGGGGATATTGTACATCTATAATAAGGATTATATACTAAGTAGATACATGAAATTTTTACTGACTGTTTATATTAGCATTTTCTATACACCATGAATTTTTTAAAATATTTGGACTTATTTTGAGCTCTTTAGGGACATTTTCAGTCTCCAATTTTTTTAGTTTTTTATTCTATAAATATCAATAAAATGTTATTTATTAGTTCAAAAAGCTTGGAAATTTAAAAGCGGGCTCCTAGTATATTGTTTCAAAGGCAGATGAAAAATATAAAAAAATCCTTAATCACAGGGTTTTTTTATAAGCATTTGAAGTTCAAAAATTGACAAAATATGGAAAAATATTGAAAATTGGCAAATTATTTTTGTTAAGAATTCGTAACAATTTTTCTTTTTATATCTAAGATTTTAAAATGTAATACAAGATTAATTATAAGATTATCCACCTATATCAAAAAAAAAAAATGTTTTAAAAAGTCAAATTTAATTTTTATGAAAGTTTGAAATTCAAATTTTTACAATATTGGATATTCACTCGATTTCTCGTGTAGCGATTTCCTTATTTTGTTATATATCAAAAATAAATGACTGTAGATACATGAAAATTTCAATGAATGTTTATTTTAGAATTTCCTATACTCCATACAATTTTGAAAATATTTTGACTTTTTTTTGAGCTGTTTACGGACATTTTCAGTTTTCAATTTTTTTAGTTTTTTTTTTCTATAAATATCAATAAGGTTTTATCTATTCTATTTTGAACTGTTTAAGGATATTTTCATTTTCTATTTATTTCTAAATATATCAATAAAATTGTATTTGTTGGTTAACAAAACTTGAAAATTTAATAGAAGGCTCCTAGTATATTTCAAAGGCAGATGAAAAATATCAAAAATCCTTAGTCAGAGTTTTTTTTTATAAAATTTAAAATTCAAAAATTGACAAAATATGGAAAAATCACGAAAATTAGCTTATTATTTTGAGTTAAGAATTCGTATATATTTTTGAAAATATCATTGAATTTTCATATTAGCATTTCCTATATACCATACAATTTTGAAAATATTTTGACTCTTTTTGAGCTGTTTAAGGACATTTTCAGTTTTAATTTTTTTAGTATTTTTTTCTATAAATATCAATAAAGTTTTATCTGTTGGGCCAAAAAGTGTAAAAATGTAATACAAGTTCCTGATATATTGTTACAATATCAGTTGAAAAATATTAAAAATACATAGGCACAATTTTTTTTATAAGCATTTAAAGATCGAATTTTGACAAAATTTATCAAATTTAAAATTGAATAATTATTTTGTAGTTAAAAATTTATAAGATGTTCAACTTTTATGTCGAAGGATTGAAAATTTAAAACAAGATTCCACGTAAGTAGTTTATTCTGTTACCAAAAAATCTAAAAAATACAGAATTACAGTTTATTTTAATAGCCTTTTTAAGTTCAAATTCTTACGAAATTACATATTAAAAAACCTAGAATAACTATTTTAGTTACCTATTTTGTTGTGATTGTATAATATTATTCGTGGGTACTTCAAACTTCTAAAGTACACTATTATATATCTATGATAGTATCAGGGTTTTTTGTTGATGTATAACGCATTATAAGTACCTAATGGATATTGTGATATGATTAACTTGGACTTTATTATAGTTACCTATTATAGGTCATTTTTTTTTTTAATACCATAGATATAATATGTCTTATACCAAGACTGACATACCGTCTCCGCTCAGAATCGTTTTTTTTTATACAATGATATTATATCATTGAATTGAAATTTAATACCATCCATTATACAGTGACCCATTTGTAACCTACTGTACAGCAGACCACCTTTTAGATTCTGAGCGGAGCGATGAATGTATTGGTTTTACAATGATGTATGTTTTTTTTTCATATTTTTATTTATATTTTTGTGTCTGTCATCACGTTTTAGGACAGTAAAAGTGCTTGGATTTTCTTCATCAGTAGCTTTTCTGGTAGGAAAGTGAATCTAGTTGGTACTTTGGGGGGTCAAAAGTAAACATTTTCCAGTAGTTTTCACAAGCTCCGGGAAAAACAACATAAAAATTAAGGAAAAACGGGAATTTTTACGCAAAATTGGTTTTCCAAAAAATCGATTTTGGTTATTGGTGTAACTCTAAAACAAATGAACGTATATACATGAAATTTTCACTGGTTGTTTATATTTGCATTTTCTATACACGATAACATTTTCAAAATATTTTGATTTATTTTGAACTGTTTAGGGACATTTTCATTTTCCATTTTTTTTTTAGTTTTTTTTCTAAAAATATCAATAAAATTTTATTTATTGGTTGCGAAAGCTTGAAAATTTAATAGAAGGCTCCTAATATGTTGTTTCAAAGGCAGATGAAAAATATTAAAAATCCTTGGTCACAATTTTTTTTTATAAGCATTTAAAGTTCAAAAATTGACAAAATATGGAAAAATCACGAAAATTATTTTGAGTTAAGAATTCGTAAAAATTTTTCTTTTTAAATCTAAGATTTTGAAAATGAAACACAAGATTCCTTATAAGATTATCTACCTTTATCAATAAAAAAATCTCTACCGGACAGTCAAATTAATTTTTTATGAGCGTTTGAAATTCAAATTTTACAACATTGGATTTTCACTCGATTACTCATGTAGCGATTTCCTTATTTTGTTGCAATTCAAAAACGAACAACTGTAAATACATGAAAATTTCACTGAATGTTTAAATTAGCATTTTCTATACACTATACAATTTTGAAAATATTTTGACTCTTTTTGAGCTGTTTATGGACATTTACAGCTTTCAATTTTTTTAGGTTTTTTTTCTATAAATATCAATTAAGTTTTATCTGTTGGGCCAAAAAGTGTAAAAATTTAATACAAGGCTCCTGATATATTGTTACAATATCAGTTGAAAAATATTAAGGTATTAAAAATACATAGGCACGATTTTTTTTTATAAGCATTTAAAGTTGGAATTTTGACAAAATTTATCAAAATCACGAAAATTATCAATCGTTGGAATTAAAAAATTATAAAATGTTCAGTTTTTATAACTAAGAGTTGAAAATTTAAAACAAAGATTCTCTTAAATAATTCATACTGTAACCAAAAAATCTAAAAAATATATAAACACACTTATTTTTTACAGACATTTTAATTTCAAATTTAGACAAAATTTCATATTTAAACCAAGAATTACGATTTTAGTTATTTTGTTGTGATTGAATAATATTATTCGTGGGTACTTGAAACTTCTAAAGTGTACTATTATATATCAATGATAGTATCAGGGTTTGTTATTTATGTATAACTTTGTTATAAGTACCTAGTGGATATTGTGATATGATTAATTTGGAATTTATTATAGGTCAATTTTCTGTTTAATACCATAAATATGTATATAATATGTCTGATACATAGACTGACATACCGTCACCGCTCAGAATCGTTTTTCTTATACAATGATATTATATCATTGAATTCAAATTTAATACCATCCATTATACAGTGACCCACTTGTAACCTACTGTACAGCAGAGTGACACCCACTTGCCCACCTTTTTTATATTGTCCTAGCTGATCCCGTGCACTTCGTTTCCCGTTAAATGTACCAACTCTATATGACTCAAACATTGTTCAATGCGTTATTTAATATTCGGTGTATGATGTTCTAGATTTATCTTAACTTTTCTGTTGCCCGGAATATAAATTCTGAATTGCAGCAGTACATTATCAGATAGGTAATTTACCTGCGGTAGATCGCGGACCCCGTGCTGTTCGTACGTAAGTATGATTTAACTCAAAAAGTACCAAAGTTATACCAAGTTTGACGTTTTTACTTAATTCCACCTACCTATAAATCCTAACCTAACAGAACCGTACTAAAATCCGATGAATAAAAAAACCAAATTTAACCCTTTTTAAATTAGCGTATCTTTTTCCCATAGGTCTAATCTACACACCGTCATTCATTTATATATAAGATATATTTACAAAAAATAATAATACAAATCAACAAACATGCCCGATTAACCAATAGCAACCAATATAATATAATACACCATAGAGTCAATAAGACAACGGTATCGAGTTCAAATCCCAGACATCAATAAATAGTTTTTGCAGTTTTTCTAATTATTCAGTTGACTTTTTAAAAATTTTCTTTCGTAAAAACCTTCACCTGGCAATTACCAACATCTTAAAAAATATTTGAGCAAAATCGGCCCAGCCGTTCTCAACTGATGCAATTTCGAATTTTTTGTCTCCATTTTTATATATATGGATTAATCATTATATCATGTAAGTTGAATTAATATTATAATATTATTATTTTTTATTCGTTTCTATGGTAATAAACAAAGCGTTAGAAATTAATATCCAATTTTTAGCGGTGTTTCATAATTTTTCGGTGGTCTTTACAGTGGCATTAAATAACAATTGATAAAATCGAAAAATGACATTTTAAAGTACCATGTTGATCCAATTTGCTAAAATATAAGGTACTATATTTTGAAATCGAAGCACTCCTCCTGGTAGTAATTTTGTACACAGGATATAAAATCACGAAAATTAGCTAATTATTTTGAGTTAAGAATTCGTATAAATTTTTTAATAGGCAATAGGCTCAAAATGAGTTTTTCACCAAAATTAAATAACCGCCCCATGATAAGCTCTTTTAAAGGTAATTTTGGACAGCCACAAAAAAAATATATAAAACCAGGAATTAAGTATACAAGTTTAAATTTTTAAATTAAGATCCATATTAAAGTATTGACTAAGAGACAACTTTTGATATGCTTATTGGCCCCATACAATAATTATTAACTGAGATATACATAGTCAAAGTTCAAAACTGCCCCAAGTAAGACAGTTCTACGGTATGCTAGTATGCAATGAAAAAAAAAAAACCATTAATGATTAAATAAGAAATTTTATTTTATTTGGAACTAATAAAAGAACTTGTTCATTTTCGAAAGGAACAAATTCCTTTTTATATGGAACTTGCCAAACCCTGACAAAAAACGGTTCTGAGCGGAAATGGTCGATCACTCTATAATTGAAAATACATTTTATTACAATATATATTTTTTGGGGTAAGAAAAATTAGCGCTGCTCGTCATGCGCCAAGCGGCAGTTTTTCTAAAGTGGTTATCAAATCACCAAACTACATGAAATACGACACCTAACGGCAAAACAGTGGGTTCGTACCGGTCACGGGCGTCAACGCTCATTTTTCGTGCTCCCAGCTATAATTGTATTGATAAAAGAAATTTATATATTATTTAGTTATACAATAGGCGAAATAATTTTACCAAAAACAAATCGCATATTATATTAATATAATATAGCTATTATATTATATAATAATTATTTCACATAATATTACTAGATGTTATTAAAATTGTTTAATGTATTTAAAATTTCAATTTCAATTTCGTAACAAAAATTATAGGCATTTGACAAAAAAAATTTATATTTCTAAATTGGCTTTTTTAATAGATTACCGTATTGAAAAAACTAAAAATAGTCATAATATGTGTTGAAACTTGTATCTGCTATCTGTATTTCTGCAGGACTGCGCGAACTGCACTACTACGATAATAATAATATCTCGATATTAAACTATATATTATTATTATAATATGTTTAGAAAACACAGTCCGCAGCTAACAACTGTAACTAAGTTACCAAGTCTTGTGGACTGTTGTAGTTGGCGTAATCGTCAGTTGTTACTGTTTATAGGTAATTAAAAATAAAATGTATTTTTCATTTTTAATCCTTTGCTATATAAGTTGAACATTTTATAAATATTTAATTACCTACTAAATAATTTGTAAATTTCCAATTTGATAAAATTCGTCAACATTTGAACTTTAAATGCACATAAAAAATGTCTATGGTTTTTAAATGATGTTGTAAACATATATTAGTATTCAGTACCCTTGTATTACTTTACAAAGCTTCTTGACCCAAATAATACAATTTTATTGAAATTTATAGAAAAAAAAACTAACGCGGAATGCAATGAAGTGCACGGGATAAGCTATACTCTGTTCCAGGAGACACGATACTCGTTCCGCGCATCAGACTGACGCCGACGACAGCACGGAACCCTAATTTCTCCCACTCCTTACCGTCCGGCGAGGAGTCGTTGCCATCCGAACTTGTCACGATCGTAACCGAACGGGCGAAAATGGTGGGAGATGCGCAGCGACGGACGAAAAAACGAGTATCGTCTCTCTTGGAACAGAGTATAGTATCCTAAAAACAGTTAAAATGTCTGGTAATATATATTTTTGAATGTATTATAATGTAATTTAATTATTATTTAATTTTTAATTTAATTATTGAATGTAAGATACTATGGTAGTATGTCTACAATGTTAATGGCACCCAAGACAATCAGTTGAAGTGGGAGGAATAAAATCTAACACCGTTTAGATACAAACTCTATTCTAAGGGTCTAAAAATACTAATATTGTGTCTGAATCAAATATTTTATGACAACTAATAGGACCATAACAGTAATTAGATATGAAAAAATGCTTACCGGTAAGTTCCATCTGGATTTTTGGCTAGGAACAAGGGTTGAATTATTTCATCATTATTGACAGTGCTAGGGATAGTTTCTGTTGCTGGTATTTTGTCATCTGAAGATTGTGCAGTTGGTGAAGCTACAGGATCTTTAAACTTTGAATTAATGGAACATTGAAAAGCTGCATTATCGATTAATGACCCCAGATCTTCATTCGAATCACCGGTGACGGCATCAATAACTGCTTGAAAATATTCCGGACTGTTTACAGTTGATACAAAAAAAAAAGACATGCCATCGGTGACTCCAGAGTCAATATCCCGACTATCTTCAATTAGACCTATTAAATCAATGCAGTTAGGTCGAAATGTCTTTGACCGGAACAATGAAAACATTTGGGGATGGTTATATTCACTGTTCTTCAAACTGTTCCATATTAAAAATACCAAATTTTTGAAGATATTACCTTTTTTGAAATTGGGCTGATCCAAAACTCGAAGTACAGTTAATATACTTAGAAAAAACATCTGAAATGCAGAATCAAATTCCGACATTTCAAAAGATGATACAACGTCTATAACATAGTTTTTCAACTTTGTTTCTAGAATTTGTTTATGCCTTCCATGTAATTTGTTGGCATCGCATCTTTCTTTAAGTTTTTCGGCATCAAAACTTTTCTTAAAAGATTCATCCATTCGTGCCTTGTGATATTTATTAGACATTGATATTATATTGAGTATACTTGCAATAACCACGACAGTATCTTGTACGGTTTTAGTGAAATATTTTATGTATAATTTTTCAATTTTTACTAAATGCCCTCTTACATATTTTTTGCCATTTACTGCGTGTTTAAGTACAGTTAATTTAGGTAAACTTATAGGTCCGCTTATAGGTCCACTTATTGGGAGTTTAGCAACTGCTAACTTTTTAGTGCTATTTGTTGGATGATTGGGTTTATTATTATAATTGAATATTTTCTGCCACCTTTTGTAATTATCTACATCCATCATTTTTTTAAGATCCTTGACCCAGACCTTTTGTTCTACATTTGTAGCTGAAGAATTAGCAGACACACAATCTACCACAGATTCTTCGCAATCAATTACTAAGGGTACTTCCTCTGCTGTACTGGTAGACGCAATTTCCTTCTTGGGTCTTAACGATACTAATTTCAAAACATCTATTCCATTTGTATCCAATTTCTGTTTTTTTTTAGCAGGCTCGTCGTCTATAGATGTGTTGTCTTTATATGTTTTATCAACTTTGGACGGTTTAACATCTTTAGACGTTTTAACATCTTCAGGCGTTTTAAAATCTTTAGATGCTTCAACATCTTTAGGCATTTTAAAATCTTTAGATGTTATAACATTTTTAGGCGTTTTAAAATCTTTAAATGTATCTTTAGGCGTTTTATCATATTTAGACTTTTTCTCATATTTTGACCTTTTATCGCTTTTAGAAGTTTTATTGTCTTTTAATGTATCATATTCTTGTTCTATTGTTATATTGTCTTTGAATATATTACCAACTTCTTTGGGTGTCTTTTTCTCTTTTTTAATTAAGCTCCTAAAATGAAGTAATAAACTTAAATAAGTATTTTGAGATAAATATGATATTATTATTATTATTATTATTTATAATATTCTTGTATTAATAAATGTATTATTTATATTTAATTTTACGTTCTAAAAGGGTTTTATACAATTATTTATTTAAAGTATAAATTACATATAATTATATAAATCAAACTCATCAGTGATGTTACCAATTGTTCGAAAATTGACCCAAAACAAATGCTTAATAGATTAATTGAAAGGTTATAATGTATATGGTCTATCCATTCTCTTATTTTAATCCAGGGCTTGAAACTGGTTACCGGTTTTTAACAGAAATCGGTTACCATGACCAATTTTGGGTCTGGTAGCTGCTTCCTGGTTTGTAAGTTTAAATTTTAAGAAGTGATTAACAATTACCGGTAACCACCAAGTTTAATTAAAGGGTAACGTGCAGCGGTAACAATTTTTTTTTAAAAACCGGCCAATTCAACAACTCCGGAAATAACAAAAAAATTAACGTTATATTTGATTTTAAAATTTTTTTTTTTTAGAAATTGTATTTTATTTTTTTTTGATTAATAATTTTATTTACAAGATAATAAATGTAATATAATAATTAATACGATTAAAGATGGTATACTGTGTATAGCCCTGATAATAAGTATTAAGTACCAATCGTAGATACTAAGTACGATTCATTGGTTCATAGACATATTATTAGATGATTATTATTCATTTTATTTTATTGTAATTGAGGCCGTTGATTAACACTTTTCCATGAACCATTTTTCAAACGATGGTTATGGGTAGTAGCCAGAATTATATTCTTTTGCATATTTTTTTTGAGTCTATGCAGTCAGACGGGGGTTCGAAATCTTTACAAATCATGAAACAGGTGAGTTAATGGCAAAAGTTTATTTTGCATATTTGGGAATATTTCAAGATAAAAGAATATTTCGTATAATAAAAAATATTAGAGAATATATCGATTAATTTTTGTAGATGTTCGATATTTTTTTGCATATTTTATTATTATTTTTAAAGAATATTGGAAGAATATTTTCAACTTTTTAAGAGAATATTAGCATCTTAGTTTGGCTATTTTAAAAGAATATAATTCCGGCCCCTAGTTATGGGTAATTTACTAATTTAATTTAAATTTATATTTATCCATAGCTTCAATTCGTTTAGTTTGTCCTTTTGGTATAATCTATGTAGTCCCTAATCATAAATAAATATTAAGACAAACTTACAATTTATAATTTGCTATGTCTTCTTCAGTATATGCTGTCAAAGAAACATAACATGTGTCATAAACAGCATTGCGAAACCAGCTATCGACTTCTTTTTTAATGTACGTATGCTTTTTCGATCTGAAAACAAAATATCAGCATGAGATTAGATTATTAGAAATACAATGTTCACATTCAATGTATATATTTTTCATTAAAAGTTGTTATAAAAACAGTTTTCCGCTATTTAACAACTAATACTATTCCAAACCTACAAAACTTAATTTATTTCTTAAAAATGTAGCTTCTGTTCAAATATATATTCTATAATATTCATAATGGTCATCATTGGGAGACAATAATTGAAAGTTTATACCCAGTTCGTCTAATCAAAATAATCGAGACCATACTTCTAGTTACATTTTATGTTATACTCGCTAAAGTATTATTTTTTATTAACTTTTATTATTATTAATTATTCCCAATTGGCTATATTACATCATTTCAAAATTACAGACAGGATATTTGTTTTTATAAGAATCATAACAGTTGCGTCATCAAGCCACGTTTCTTCATCTTGAAAATGCCTAACTATTCTGTCTATTTTAAGTATTTAATAGTGTTTTTACATAATAATTGTAAAAATATGGAAGTTTATGACCAACAAAAATGGTATAAGATAAGTAGTGACAATTAAACCGAGAAAATGGTTTTACAATGTTAAGGTTACTAACGACTAACGGGTCATTAGGTATTTATAACGCGTTATATATCAACAAAAACCGTGATACTATCATAAATTATAGATATATAATAGTACACTTTAAAAGTTTCAAGTACCCACGAATAATATTATTCAATCACAACAAAATAACTAAAATAGTTATTCTAGGTTTTTAATATGTAATTTCGTCCAAATTTGAATTTAAAATGTCTGTAAAAAATAACTGTGTTCATATATTTTTTAGATTTTTTGGTTACAGTATTAACTATTTATGAGAACCTTTGTTTTAAATTTGCAATCTTTAGCTATAAAAACTGAACATTTTATAATTTATTTATTACAATGATTGATATATTTCGAGATTTTGATAAATTTTGTGAAAATTCGATCTTTAAATGCTTATAAAAAAAAATTGTGCCGATGTATTTTTAATATTTTTCAATTGCTATTGTAACAATATATCAGGAGCCTTGTATTCAATTTTTACACTTTTTGGCACAACAGATAAAACTTAATTGATATTTATAGAAAAAAAAACTAAAAAAATTGAAAACTGAAAATGTCCGTTAACAGCTCAAAAAGAATCAAAATTGTATGGTGTATAGGAAATGCTAATATAAACATTCAACCATTCACTTGTAGCAACATTCACTTAACCACTTTTTTAATTTTATATTTTAAATAGGTGTTACCTTGATATATATGTATATATTTATATGCAAGAAATTAATATAGAGAAAACAATATTATTATGAGAATAGGAGTATGACATACCTTTTAGAATGATACTATAATTACTAAACCTAATATGGCAGATTTGACCCATCAGGAATAAAAAGTATATGTGATGGACTGACTGCCTTGTACAAAATAAGTTGTTTTAAATTTTTTTATTGTAAATAATTAGTAAATAATATTTTTGATAAATAAATAGAAAATAAAAAATACCACTATCTTGACAGTATTTTAATTTTTGCATGTAACTTACCTTAATTTTTTATGCAACTGAATAGTATTCACTGTATTGTGTATACTACTATACATAATAGTATCATATAATATTATAATAAAATTGATAAATAAATTAAGATACCTAATGTTTTTAATAATTCTACCACTGGATGGCCACCTTCCTCATATTATGCATGTAAATAAAAATCTGTAATCATATTTGCCTATTATTCATGTAGCATAGATTGTTAAATAATACTACATTGGCCCCAAATTGTTAGGTCAAAAATAAAGTTGAAATTGTTTAATACATATATTAACCATGACTATGCAGTATGGATACTATGACATGGATTTGTTAAGTTAAAATTAAATGAAATTAAGTTCTTACATAGAAATTATTATATATTTTAGAACATTTGAAATTTTGGAATAGGTATTGAAAATTAATTATAATGACACTTTTGTCTTTCCCAAAAACTAATATTGTAAAGAACAAAGCTTACTAGGATAAATCATGGATATAGTTATTTGTATGATACTTCTGAATCTGTTTCCTCAGCTGCTTGTAATCAATTACAGTGAACAATAATACAATTTATTTGCTTATTAACAGTGTTGTATAAATAAATTTCAGAAAAAAGTATTTGAGTAGTATTTAATGTACTGTTAAAAAATAGTATTAAAAAAAGGTTTTTTTCTGATGTATTAAAATGTAAGTATTATATACTATTTCTTATTGTCAATGAAAAATTAGTAGGTACTTACCTAAATTGTATTACTTAACTAACAAATGGGATTTTGTTTTTTTTTATTAAATTTTTTCCTCATTTTAAATATCAGAATCGCTTTGTTAGAGGATTTAGACGGCTAAACTTTAATTATTTAGAAAATAATAGTTTAAAAGAATTAACCATTGTACTATTTTTAATACATTTCAATTAGTAAGTTAAGTTAACATAATTTTCAAAAAAAATTCTTTAAAAAGATATTAAAATAAGTTATAATCACTTGTATAGTATTATATCTATAAAAGTAGAAAGTATCAACCTATGGATATATATATATGTATATTGTATAATTTAAAACCTGTAGGGCAGTATCATTTTAGAATTCTCTCTGGGTTCATATAAAAATAAATATTGTGTGTAAAAGTGCCTCTGTATTTAACACATTTTATAATTAAAAAAAAAATACACAACAATTTAAAACTTATAAAAAACGACTATATTTCTACTTATAAATGTGGTATATATACATATATATATATATTATAACATTTGTATTTTACAACTAGTTTATTCTAAATATCTGTTACATTTTAAGAACAGTGTAAACTGTATGAGTTATGGTATAAATGTATAATACACTATTTTTTTTTATATATATTATATACACCAGTATTAGGTAGGTAGGTATTTTTGAAATAAAATTATAATATAAAGTATAATGTATAAATCGAAATGGTCTTAATTCACGATTATCGTACAATAATAATTGTAGGTATTAAATATTAATAAATAATAAGTAATAACTAATGAGTACTTGCACAATAAGTAGGTAGGTATTAGGTAAGTAAGTATTATGTATCAGGGCTTTGTGGGCTTGTATCTATTGATGTCTTTATACGGGCAACTCGATAAATAATATGTTACATTTTTACTCTTATATTATTAGTACATAATTAATACAACATAATAAGAGTTTTTATTTATAAAAATATGTTCGAAATTCTTTGTAAATAATATATCTTATATATATATATATATATATATATATATATAATAATATAAAACTATTTTATACTGCATTGAAATAGAATTTAAAATGTATTCAAATCCCTGTTGGTAGATAGTTAGGTTAAGTTAGAAATTTAGGGAGGATTCATATAAGATCTAGTTAAATTATAAAATTTACAGTTATAGGTAGTCTTTAATAGGTTAGCATATTAAGTACTAGCATATTAGCATATTAAATATCATAGAATAACACTATTTCACCTTTAACCCTAACATGCATATTTAAATAATAAAAAAATCTGGTAATTGGGTAACACTCCACTGTACATTAGGTCCCTGTACCTAAAAGATGTGTTAAATTTGAATTTAATAATATTTGTATACAAAAAACAATTCTGAGCGAAAACAGTGTGTCAGCCTATAATTATATGATACTATTGTGATTAAAGTAATTTATTTTACGATTGGGCATTAGTACTAAATGTAAGTTAAATTAATCATTGCAAAAAAAAAAATGAATTTGAAAACTTTGTTGTGTATATACTATTTAGTGTATTCAATACAATAATGTACTCCTAAAGTCTCAAGTACCCACAAATTTTATTTAACGGGCTTAGCCCTTTGACAAAAATGTAAACACATATAAACAATCTTATAGTAACAGCAAGGAAATAGTATTATTTTACAATCAGATAATACATAAATAATGTATATGTATACAAAAGATCAATATAATAATGTACTATAAACGATTAAAGTACCGACGAATAATATTTTGAAATAACAACAAAATAACTAAAATTTTTATTCTTGGTTTTAATATGGGGTTTTTTTCAAATTTGAAATTAAAATGTTTGTAAAAAAGAACTGTTTACATATTTTTTTAGAATATACAGTATAAACTAATTATGAGAAATCTTAAGAAATCTTATTTTAAATTTCCAATCAACGTTTTTACTGTTCTAAAAGGTGATGACAGACAAAAAAAAAGAACACTTCATTGTAAAATCAATACCTTTATTGCTCCTATCAGAACTTAATATATTTAATTTGTACGTATGTACAATAGATATTTTTAATTTTATATTGTACAATGGAACATAAATATTGGAGATATTTACTTTATAATCAATATATAACATTAAAGGTTTAAATTAAGTAGATTATTGTAATAAAATTCCCTGTCACTCATCACTCCTGATTTCCTATTAATTTCCGTTAAATATTTTACCAAATAATTAAATACACATTATGAAATTTAATTGAAGTGATTAGCATGAAAGCCTACCATTTGTTATATTTATCATCATTATATTTATACCATGTATGCCGTATGGAGTATATTTATAGCGATATCATTTTTACAATTATACTGCGGCCCACGAGAGAGTATTACGGTTTTGCGCATGAGGACTGAATAGTCATTCCCCACTTTGTGCCATTTAGTGTATGTAAAATACGTGGCGATGCGCAGAATCGTACGTGTTTTCGTAGGGCGATAAAAATGCTCTCTCGTGGGCCGCAGTGTAATCCCGTTTTCATTCTATAATTAATACTATAAAAAATTAATTTGAGGTTAGCCATGATGTTTTAAAGGTTAACCGTTCTTAGAGATGCTACGAAACAAAAAAAAAACAAAATGGCCGCCAGATGACTGCGCAGCACGATGTGCGCACCATTGGCCCGAATACGATATAGGTAAAATATTAATTTTTCGCGAACCTCGTCTAGTTTATCTAGGTTCTCAGGAAATGGTATACCAAAATATATTAACTAAACAGTGTAGCCATTCACAACAATTTCATATTCAAATAACCAATTTGTAGTTATTCATAAGTGCCCCCTACATAATAATTATCAAGTAATAAATATCATGATGAAATGTTACAACCGTTATTGTGACGAATACGTACTTATAAGGCATTATGCTGAACGGCGAATTGTAGCGTCGGCGGATTGGATTATTTCAACGACTTGCACAACTTGGTACGCCAACAACGAGCAGGAACAGCGAGCGACGAGTGAACTCGAAATGACCGCAGTCACCGGGCCGCGTCGTACGCGGTGGAGATGAGCGCCATCGTCGGCAGTGGTCTAGAGTAGGGATGCGTAATTTTAAATCGTGTCACGGTGGCTCCTCGATATGCCGTTATCATTATTTAAGCCAAATCACATTTCATACCTTTGAGAGATTAGATTAGATTAGATTTCAATGTATTTGTCACGGACTAAGATATAGGTACAGGACTGGACACGAGATGAATATTGTGGTTACGAAATGTTTTACAACAGGCGGAGTTAGGGGGGATATTTTCCTTTTAGCATTACTAGCGCCGTCTTAGTGGATACTTATGGAACTAGATCACATTATTGTCATCTAGTTCCAAAAGTATCCACTAAGACGGCGCTAGTAATGCTAAAAGGAAAATATCCCCCCGAACACCGCCTGTTGTACTACATTTCGTAGTCAACCCCCCACACCCTCAAACCTTGTCGTGTCCAGTCCTGTATATCTTAGTCCGTGGTATTTGTATAGACAGGCGTCTCGCGACAAGATAATTTCCGATACCAAATTCTTATCAAACCTTGTTATCACTTAGCAGATTAACCATTTGCAATACCTCAAGGTGTAGTAACTAGTAGTCAAAAAGACCTATAATTTATAATTTATACTAGGTAGCACGGTATATAAGACTAAATAGACTATTAATTATTATTGTTCTGTGCTATTATATAGTATACTATTACTAGCACGGTATATAAGACCGTGGGCTATCTCCCAATATGCGGTCTACCTCCGTTTTGTGTGCTACGTAACTATAAACATGAGTATAGTATGCGGTCTATCAATGTTATGTGTTCTACCTATATAGCTGGGATTTATATTTATTAATGCAACAAAAATGCAATTTTCTCAACCCTGTGACCCACTTGGGGAGGTGTTGCACAGCAAGTCGGGGGATATTTTCGATTTGCGGATCGGAGCGACGGCGCCGAGGAGCGTAGCGACGAGTGCCGTTTTTTCAATCAATTGCATTTTTGTTGCACCGAGCCACCAGTTTGAAAAAACATCGTACAGTGATGCGGTGCTAGCGGCACTCGTCGCTACGCTCCTCGGCGCCGTCGCGCCGCTCCGCAAATAGAAAATATCCCCCGACTTGCTGTGCAACACCTCCCCAAGTGGGTCACAGGGTAATAAAAAATATATACTTTAAATTATACTTGTATTGTACTTTATTACTTTAATATTATTACGGTAGACCACGTCCATTTTGGTAGAGTGATAACAAGGTTTGATAAGAATTTGGTATCGGAAATTAACTTGTCGCGACACGTCTGTATTTGTAGTCTCACACCATAGAGTAATATATTACTCTATACTCTGGTGTGTATTACTCTATGTCTCACACTATCGCAGTCTAATCTCGCAAAGGTATGAAATGTGATTTGGCTTAAATAATGATAACGGCATATCGATGTTTAGTCTTCGATACTAGACTCTAGAGAGCTTGCGTTCGGGCCGCGTAATTTTAAATCGTGTCCGATGGTTACCAAGCAGCACACGACGACTCGTATATAAAAATATTATTAGTAACTACTGTGACGCATATTTGACATCCAATTCGGTCGGCTGCGCGCTGCCGGTGAGCTGCACTGGTGCCGCGCTGTGCGCACCAAAACATTTTTGCATCATTAATGCTGGGTAGCATAAACGATCGATAAGTAGTTATCGGTTCGATAAAACAGAAATCGGTGCGATAAAAATATTGTCTGTTGCATAAACGACTTTTATTTTTTAACGATCCGATAAATATGTTGTTATTGGTTCGATAAATTGAAGGCCCGATTTTGGTTCGATAAATAATAGAAAGAACTCTATAACTTTATTGAACTGATAACAGTGTTTTATCATTAAGTCTTATCACGGTATTATTGATCATATTGTCGGCTATAATTGATTATTGACTATTTTATTAATCATCCTGTTATTAAACGATTTTTTTAAATTAGTAATTAATTGTTTTAAAACTATCTAACATGAATTTAAATATATCATCATCATCATCATCGTCATCATCATGTTCCTCATCATCTGATGATGAACAGGTTTTTGAAATGGTTGTTAATCTTCCAAGACCACGCACATTCCGTAATCGTTTCAATCCTCTTGAAAATTACGACGATTTGGACTTCAAAACAAGATTTAGGTAAGGTTCTAGTGTGTAAATACCAATAATTATGCATAAACGCCAATAAGTCTAGCATAAGTTATAATAATAATTATTATTATACCTAAATATTTCACAAGTATTTTATTTAACAACTTTATAGATTGACAAAGAACACATTTATGGTGTTACTTAGTGCAGTCGGCAATGACTTAGAACATTATACTAACAGAAACTATGCAATCGTACCTGAGGTTCAACTGTTAATAGCATTAAGGTATTATGCAACTGGAGCATTTCAAGTAAGTTATATTTGTGAATCTTTGCTTAATCTAATTCTGACCCTTTTTATAATACTTAAAAAATATTAATTTAGTATTTTACACGCTTTACTTTTTTTAGGCGGTTTTAGGCGATCATATACAAGTCCATAAGTCTACTGTATGCAGAATTGTAAAACGTGTTTCAAAACGTTTAGCGTGTCTTCGCCCCTTGTTCATTAATATTGCCTAAGAACCAAAATGAAAAACAAGAAGTACAGATTGGATTCTACCGAACAAATAATTTTCCTAGAGTTATTGGTGCTATTGACTGTACACATATCAGAATACAGTCCCCAAATAGTGATATAGGCGAACAATTCCGAAATCGAAAAGGCTACTTTTCATTCAATGTGCAAGCCGTGTGTAACAGCAAAATGGAAATAATGAATATTGTGGCCAGGTATTATGAAAAAATATTTTTAGTTAAATTCTATTAAATATTAATACTGTGTATTCAGATGGCCAGGATCTGTGCATGATAGCACTGTATTTGACAACAGTTTACTGTGGGCCCAATTTGAAAACAATGAGTATGATGGATGTTTTCTTCTTGGCGATGGTGGTTATCCATGCAGGAGTTATCTCATGACTCCCTTACTGAATCCCACAACTTATTCCGAAAAAAAATATCAAGTAAGCATATTTTCAGATATTGTTGTCATCATGCAAAAAGTGACCATGTATAGTAACCAAGTGAATAACATTATCATATAATGCGTTTTTTTAACTATATTTTTATATATTATGTAACCTACCACTAAAACACGATAGTACTAATAGCACATTTAATACATATTATATACCTACATAATCATCAAAGAATAATATCAAGTTTGATACAAATGGATATAAATTGTATTTCTCGTATATTAAACTTGTATTTAAAAATACATTTGGTCAGTTTTTGCAATTCATAAATATTACTCCATTACTCTAAGATGCAGCTTACTTCTAATTTTATGTTAAATACAGAAAGCCCAAATAGGTACAAGGAATGTGATTGAACGTATTTTTGGAGTTTTAAAACAACGTTTTCTTGTCTTATCTGTTGGCATTCGTACTAAACCAAGCACAGCGTTGACAACAATTGTTGCTACTGCAGTCTTGTATAATATTTTACTGAAACAAAACGATGAAATGCCATTAAATGAACAGCTATTAGACAATAATTTATTAGAAGAACTACCAGCTTTGCCAGTAAGACAGATCGGAAACGTTGTAAGAAATGATGTAATAGAAACTTATTTTTCTTAACGGTCAAATATTAAACATTAATTTGCTTAATATATTGTATGTTTGTTCCTTACTATTTAAGTATAAACATAATAAATTACTACCAATACATTCTTATTTATATAATTAGCTTAGTATAAGTTATCAAGGTATATTATATACCTATAAATTCATAACATTGTAATATTTATTGTAATTTGTAATTGCTTTTCACTTATTATGTATAATGTATATGACTTATTATTATCCATTCAAAGTTTGAACTTTAACTACTGTAAATTAATTTATATTTTAATTTGTTAAACTATAGTTGGAAATAAATAAATATTATTATTATAATTATATTACTAGCCGTTTTATTATGCACAATAATTGAAGTGTTACTCTTAAGATTCCAGTTCTATCAAAAAGAGTTCACCGTATAGTCATGCTATTTTATAGCTATAAGATATTTTTATACATTTTTCTTTTAATATTAAATTTGATTATTTATACAAGTATGAGTAGTATGACACAGAAAAAAAATATGAAAAAAAATGAAAATTGAAGATTTTTGGTTTTTAAAAATAGTTAAACAAAAAACTATGTTTCTAAAACATTGAAATTAGTTTTTTTTTTTTTAATTCAAAATATACGATGGATGTAACTTATTACAATAAACAATTTAACCTCCGGTGTCTGTAGCCCTACAGCTAACTGTTTTGTTGTAAGACAACTCGTAAAAGAGCTTTTGAAAAATGTTATTTTAAGGATTACCTATTTACGTATTGCCAGTTTTGTAAAAGGTACTTTTTAAAAGTATTCACTGTACTGATACAGAAAAATGTACTTAAAAAAAAAAAAAGGTTTTGTTTGAGAATAAATATTTTTATGATTAAAATATATAACAATAACAATAAAATATAAATCCTACATATTAAAAAAAAAAATAAATAATATTAACAGTCAAATATCTTTTGATTAAAATTAAAATAAAATTACAATTCCTTTTGTTTTATAAATAATAAAAAATAAATAATAATAACAGTCAAATATCTTTTGATTAAAATTAAAATTAAATTTAAATTTAAAATTCCTTTTGTTTTATAATTAATAAAAATTCCTATAATTCTTTTAATTTTTTTTTTCAGTTCACATTCTAAAATCTCTTCTTTGAGCTTGTTTTGCTTTGCTTGGGATATATTGTTGTCTCTTTCTGCCTTCAGTTTTTCGATAGTCACAATCTTTTCTATTTCTAAAATTTCTAGCTTTATATCTAAATGTTTCCTTTTAATGATGTTGTTGTCATTTATAAATGCTTCTTTTAAACTATACGAACTTAATCGCTGGTTAGTAAGTTCGTTTATATTTTCATAAACTCTCTTGGGAGGTACACGCGTTGTTGAAACCTTGGGCAATTTTCCTTGTGGCGTTGAAGTTTGAATCTGTTTTGACTGATCGCAACTTATTATGTTTTCTAAACAAAATTCAACAGTTGTACAAAATGTGTTTAAAAATTTGAATAACAATGTTTACCATATGATGAGTGTTGTTGATCATCTACAACTTCATTCAATTTAGGAGATTTTGGGAGTGAGGTGACTTCCATGGCTAAATTTAAATCATTAGGGCCCAAATAAGAATCTAAAAAAAAACAAACAATAAAATATTCTCAAATTAAATTTTAAAAACTATAAAAAGTACTTACATTCTACTGGACTACTTTCATCAAACATCATATCAATACATTGATCATCAGTAGAAACTGGAGTATAACTTTTCTTTATAGTTGCAGATGTACTGGCAAAATCTCCATCACTATCATAAGGTGATTCTACTGATTCGAACCGGTTACCCATCATGCCAATTATTTTATTGCTTATCGTAGAAGAGTGTATTTGAGATTGTCCTCCTCCAGTTTTATAAGTTTCTCTCTATGAAAATCATATTTGAATGTTATGAATATAACACAACAGAAAATATAGACAAAGATAGCTCAAAGTTATTAATTAAAGATGTAAAACCTATCTGTTGTATTGTTATAAATTTAAAAGCATAAATTCATTGTAAATTGTTACTCCATAACTAATTTTTGAATAGTTAAAATATACATTACAAAAACTATGTTAACGAATACCGCCAATAAACAATTTTAAAATTTTGTCACCGAGATATACCTCTGGTAACTTATACAGTGACAATCAAATCAAATCAAGACAATATACTACTTCAACTATCAAAAGCTACCTACGCTATTCATTAAATTATTGTACATAGTACTTACTTTTTCATTATTTAAATCAGATTTGGCTGTTTTGCATAAAAGTTGGTTCATCATTTTTAGTTCATCTCTTGTTTTCACCCCACTAGTTTGCATTTGGTTATATGCTTCAGCAATTGTATTCCATGCATTGGTTTGTATATCAGAACAAGCAAATGGATCCTACATAAATACATATATATAATTTGATAAATTAATTAAATGTAGAAACAATTAATTACAATGTATTACATACAACAGATAATTTGTTGTCTGAAATAAGATCCAACATCAATTCTATTTCTCGGTCAGTTTGTACTGTGGCCTGATGTATGTAAGAGTTAACCTGTTTTAAAAAATATATCATTTACTATAATCTACAACAAAATATTTGACACATGTTTGAGCACTATTAAAAATAACATAAATTTACTAAGTACATTAAACCAAATACAATAAAATAATATTCTTAGTTACAAATATAACCAACCTACTGAGAAAATAATTTAAGGATAAATAGTTCAATATTATGTGTATTTCTAAATAATAATATTTACTTTTTCAAGGCTTTTGACCTTTTTTAGTTTTACGTTTCATCACATCAAACATAGCTTTTAACTGACCGCTAGTTCTTTGTCCAGAAGTTTGTAGCGCGTTATAACTCACTGTTATGTCTTCCCAAACACTAAACTTCATTTTGTTTGTAGCGCCATCAGTCTAATTCAAAACATGTGAAAATAATGTTTGCATTAAAAGTTTCAATAATGTTTCAATTTTATAAAATACCTATTATTCTAAATTGTAATACACACCTTAATATTCTCAATTACATTTAACCGTGGTTGGATTAACTGCAACAATATATCTTTCTCTGCATCACTAACATTTTTACTTCTACGTTTAGCCATCATATTGTAGTAGGTATTATAAATTATAAAACTAAATTTCAACTGTAATACAAATAACAAAATATGTCAAACGTTGTAGTCGATTCACAATTATCGATGTAATATTGTAAATTGTAATCAGTAATCGCTATTCTCTATTTCGACATTTCAAAAAACGATGATAACAAATAACGACCGATTTATCATTTATTGAATATACCATACTACCATGACCCTGGTAAGTTGTCAATTAATAGTATATTTGGTCAACGTTTATGCAACAGTGATGTACTTTATGGAACCGATAAAGATATTTATATGATGGTTTATCGACCCGATAGCAAACCTTATCGTGCTGTTTTTATCGACCGTTTATGCAACCGGGCATAAATATTTCAATCGCTCGACGGTTTAAACAACCACGTTGACTGCGGAACAACCGGTTTCGTAAGTTTTCCTCGTCTATGCGTCTTTGAGGCAAACCCTCCAAATACTTAATTAGTGTTTGTGTACCAGGTACGTGATACGATGACGATTCGAAACCTATGTAATATATTATATTATGAACCAATGAAAAAAAAAGGTGGCCGTTATATTTAATAACAATATGAAAGGTTAAAAAAAAAAAAATGGTTTTAATTTTTTTAACAATAAGACGTTTCATTCGCTGTCAACTGGAGAAACTACACAGTTTGCAAACCGAGCCACGTGTTTTAAGGATAAATGTCATCTGGTGCCTTTTAATCAAACGCCCATGACATTTTCATGGAATACATTATTATTAAGAGGACGCTACACTCACATAAGTTGTCTCCGTCTTACAAGTGCGTAACGTAGCAAATTGTAGGCTCCGCAGATCACGTTTATCTCCCTTGGTTTAACAGTTAGAGTAAATTGACCTCCTATTAAATTTAAATGTAAGATTATTATCGAGAGCATCTCATATCCTTTTTATTATATTTTAATTTTAGAGCGAATTATTACTACTTTAAAATTGTAAATTGTTTGTACATCTTAAAATATACGATATTCGTTTTAAAATTAAAATATAATAAAATGCCTATGAGATGCCCTGAATAATAATCTTACCTTTATATTTAATAAGAGGTCAATTCACTCTAACTTTTAAACTAACGGAGATAAACGTGATCTGCATAGTGTAAAATTTGATATGTTACGCGTTTGTAAGACGGAGACAACACATGCGGGTGTGGCGTCCTCTTAAGGGATTTTGTTGTTTGCCATATCATTTCGATGGGTGTACCACAGCTTGAGATTATATGGTTGCGTAACGATCTTCGTTAAAGCGGTGTCAAATGTTCTTGTCAAATTATACAAAAACTTGCTAATTATTATATTATTCGGTGTGTATAGATACCGGTGCCGTGAGTGACAAGAGAAAATGGTAAGAGTGGTTATACGACGGTTACTCTGTGGTTACGACGGTTACCAACTTGAGTTGGTATTGCACAACAAGTCGGGGGGATATTTTCGATTTGCGGAGCGGAGCGACGGCGCCGAGGAGCGTAGCGACAAGTGCGCCGCTAGCATGGCATCACTGTAAATGATTTACGATTGTTTTTCAAGTTTGCCACTCTGTGGGACCTTTTCCGGGTAGGTATTGAATATATACACGGATGGGTCCGTGTATGTAAAGCGTACACGGGCTCCCGGGTACCTATACACAGCGTATATTATTATTTTCATCGAGACCTGTGGTGTAGTGACTAGTGGTTTTCTATACCCGTGACCATGTTCTATAATATTATATGTATATTATGCATAAACTTATGGTGAAAACACATGATCCACTAAAAGCGCTATCTGTGAGCTGGCTTTTGTCTAATATGATAAGAATATACAGTGTGTTCCTCATTAATTATTGACATGCATCTAGTTATCCATCTGATGAAGCTTCGGATTGATGATTAAGGAACACTTTTCATTTTTATAATAAATACATTTTAATAATTTGAAATCAACACAGATTATGTTATCAGGTGCTTGTTAGTTGTTATCATTTGTATTGTGTATTATATTTTTTACTTATTTATGACATTTTTGTAATTTAACTTTAAAAACTGTAAACGTTAAGTACTGAAGTAGGTACCCACCTAAGAAATCAAGATGGATATTTCGAATAAAGTGTTGTTATGTTTATTAAAAACATATATTCGAATAAATAATAGAAAGAAAATAAATAAGTGTCTTGTTTTATTATTGAAAGAAAAGGGCTGTCGAATAAAATGCTTTATGAGAACCGTGTCCAATTACAATGGAGTTAAATTTCGAAGTCATTTTCGTCTCTCAAGATCTTCTGTTGAAGTATGTAATTTACCTCATAGGCGCAATTAGACTTTATTTTTAGTAGGTAAACTTCAACATTATGACATTATTAAAGTAAAACTTGCTTTCCATTTCCCACATAAAGCATTACGTTCTTTTGAACTGGTTCCCTGAAGAGCATCTTTGCAAGTTTTATTGCATTTATTTGTATACCTATTAACTAATATATTACACTTTCAAAGTGAATAATGACTTGTACATTATAATACATACAATTACATTACAATACTTATGTTAATAATTTACAGCCAATGTATATTTATTTTTGTTTAGATTTTATCTTCAAAAATCATTAATAGGTATGAAGGAAATTATATATTGGGTCAAAAACGCATTTCTTTTTACAGAGCACTTCTCATGACACTTTGGTACTTATCAAATAATGAAACATTTCGGTAACTACCTATTTTAATTAGAAAAATATTAAGTGTATTGTGCTAAACTATGTGTGATGTGCATACTGCTTATTAATATAATTTAAGTTTCTATATGTGTATAGATGTCAGAATAATATGTAGGTTAATAAAATATTATCAATAACTTGTTTTTAGGCAGCTGGGTGATCGCTTTGATGTAGCATGTGGAAATGCTTGCAGGACAGTTCATTATCTTATAGATATTATATGTACAGTGTGTGATGATTTTATTATTTGGCCAAAAGGATCAAACTTAATAAGTAATTTTTTAAATAACATTAATGCTCTGAGTATACTTTTAGTTATAAATATTATTTTAAATTATGAATATTTCTAGATGTAGCAAATAGTTTTAATACATTAAGGGTCAATAATTTTCCCAATGTTATTGGCACAATTGATGGATGTCATATTTGAATTACAGTACCTCTGAATAAAAGAAAATACTACACAAACAGGAAGATGTTTCAATCAATAGTCCTTCTAGTAATAATACATTTTTAGCATTGTTCTTGGACTGAAAACTAAAAACTGATTGTTTTCATAATAATTGCAGGCTGTTTGTAAGTCAAATCTTGAATTTACCTATGTGTTTGCTGGATGGCCTGGGTCTTCTCATGATGCACGTGTCTTCAGAAATTCTACTCTTGGTAAATATTTAACAGCCGACGATTGTACCTTATTTCCCACAGAATACCATATTTTAGGTAAATTAAAAAATTATGTTTGCATGTAGTTATTATAAATACATTTTGGTATTCAGTGATGAAACATTATTTTAAAATTTAATTTTTATTGAACTTTATTAGGAGATTCAGCTTTTCCTTTGTCAAAAAGACTCTTGACCCCGTATCGCCAAAGAGAAATTTTGACACCGACTCAAGCTATCTACAATAAAAGATTAAGTTCAACAAGGGTAGTAATAGAGCAGGCATTTGGATTATTATTAGGTCGTTTCAGACGTTTGAAGTAAGTCTTATGTATATAGATCCAAATGTTATTTCAACTTACACTCCATATTAATATTTGTATTATTCAGTTTGTTTAAGGGCGTTGCATGCCGCGATTGTCTGTCTTTGTCTAACACACTTGGAACATAGGAATAACAACATAAACGCCTGACGAAAATTAAGGTAAATATTTAAATATGCTTCGACCAATGCAAAGTAAACTTGTATACCAATTCAAGCATCTTTACATATTTTCAATTGAACAACTAGAAGTACCTTAATTTTTGTTAGGCGTTTAGGTCGTTATTCCTATGTTCCACATGTGTTAGACAAAGACAGACAAGCGTGGCATACAACGTCCTTAATGGTCAAAGATTTAATATTTCATTAATTTAATTATATAGGAGTGTGTGTATGAAAAATGTGGATAATATATTGAAAGCTGTAACTGCTTGTTGTATATTACACAATATAGCTTTAAATAATGACGATTATACTTGGGTACCAATTGATTCAACCACTGATACAATTAGAAATGAATTTGTCAATGACGGTTTTAACAATCAACAAGACATAACTGGTATTAATAAAAGAAACAGTTTAGCAAGTTTGTAAGTAATTATAATTAGTACCATATACAGTGGCGCAGGGCTAATTTATGAGAGGGGCAAAACATAAAAAACCTATCCACTATTTATATTTACAATGGCACTCCGAACAGAAAATGTCTAGTTATAAATTAATCAAAATGTATTGGGTTTTAATATTAAATAATACATCGATAAAATAATATTGCACACATTTATGAAAAATCAGTAAGCTCCAGTTCAGCTTGTACCTTTCCAATAACCTTTCAAACAACATTTTAATTTTTTATCAAAACTCGTTAATCAAATCGACTCACTTGTTCTAATAAACAAGCTTAGTTTAAGTATTCCAGTTTTTAATTCTCGTAGTGTCTTCCCTTTTCATATTTCCCTTTTACACAAAATGTATAATATAATTTTATTATTGTGTTTTCAGATTTTGAACCCTGTATTAATTAAAAAAATATCTTACGAAGAAAATTAGACAATACAAATTTTTGTCTTTTTGCTTCAGTTCAAAAACAAAACAAAAGTAGTAAAAATAGTTATTGTATTTCTTAACTTTTAAATGTATACTACAACAGAGATAATTAAATAAATAATAAAACAACAAATTTATTTTTATTAATATTTTATTTTATGATAAATAACCACTTGTTAAGATCATATAAATTATTATCAGTCTCAAACCTTAAATAATAATTTATTTTATTATTTATAACAAATTATTGAGATCATATCAGTCTCAAAAAATATTTTGTAATATATTTAAATTAAAAATAATGATTTAATAATATATGATTTCCTTCATATAAAATAACTATATAACAATATAAAAAATCTTTTGCTTCATACCTAACAAAAAACTAAACAAATAAACTATGAAATCAAAAAAAATGTAAGTACTCTGTACATATTAACTGTACATGATGATAATCATTAACTGTATAACTAATAAGTTAATAAGTTTATTCTCTAATTGAATTAGATTTTAAAACTTTTAATTTTTCTTCTTCCAATTTATTTTTACCTCTTAAAGGTTTTAATGTGACTGAATCGGAATCATCAGAGTAAGCAGTATTTACCTGACTTGTGTTGATTTCCGTTTCAACATTAGTGTTCACCAAAAAAGAAGAAGATTGTGACTCATACAGACTGATGCATTTCCTTTTTAAAGTAGGTTTGCTTATTTTCAAATTTAATTCAGCTGATAATTTTGGCGCAGAGTTATAAACTATACTTTGTGTTGAAGTTACTGGATTATCCGTGATATTTGATTCAAATAATTGCTTATTTTTGGGTGAGACGGAGTCTTTGTGGCCAAAGTGATTTTTCATGATTCCAAAATATTCCCAGGATATTGCTCCTTCGCCACTTTGAGATGCACGATCTTGATTTGCTCTAAACCATATTTAAAATAAAGTGTTGATCAATTAAAAAATTAATTATATTATTAATAATATGAAAGGACACTCAGCCCTGGGTAAGTGCGGAATTACTATAAACATTATAAAACATATTAAAGAATCTATATCAGACAGTAGTGTACTCAGGATTTTAGTTCGTTAAGAGTTTTACCTGAGTAGATAGCCTTATAGGCTAGGAATGTTTTATTATAATATAAAATAAATAAATAATTAATATATATTATTTTCACATTTAATAAAATATCACAAAATATGTATCTTACAAAAAATATAAGTAACACATTAATTGAATGCAATATTAAAATGTTCAATCTATACATTATATATTAAACATTATTATAAATTAACTCTCATACGTATATTCAGACATACAAATTACAATTAATGTTGTATAGATAATTAAGAAGTAATCTGATGGAGCTTTTCTTTATAAAGTAATATTTTTGAGCTCTAGTTGACACTGTGGGTAAAAGGACGACCGAAAAGGAGATACTTAGAATTTAGATACAAAATATTAGGGAAAAAATGTAAAGAAGAATAAGAAAGTCTTATTTTACATTATTTATTGTTGAACTTTTTTTTTTTTTAAGAAATTTATAATGCCTATTATGAATAAAAAAGCTGATTTGAATTAAAGTTAGAAAAACAGTTAAATAAAAAACCATAATTTATAAAAAAATTCTAAATAGAATAAAATGTTCGTTGAATAAAAAAATCTAAATTATATAAAAATTCCAATTTAGGGTAGTTCCCCAGCACCACCATCAAAATGTTGGTTTTAAAAAAAACTAAATCTCTACGAACGAAAAAATATAGATTACAAACCAATGCAAACACACTACAAACGAATGGTAAAAAAAAAAATCAATATTCCGAATTGGGGGGCTGGGGAAATGTACCTGTATTTAATATAATACCCTTATAGGCCTCATAGACCAATAGTTATATTGTCAAACACCAAGTGTCCAAGTACCCCCCCCCCCCCACATATAAAATATAGGTAAATTATAATATAATATTAAAATTTAAATAATAATATATACTAACCTATATTATATTATATAATATTGAAAACTTCTTTATATCCATGTCTTAGTCAGTTGTATCTACTTTAATAGAGAAATTTTTGTGGAATAAAATATAATTTATACGGCATACTTGTACTAGTACTTAAAATAAACTCTAGCCTCTAAGAATACTTGATGTTATAGAATTCTTTATACAATTTTAGTTTTAATATTACAAAGAAATATAAACTGACTAAATCGTTTCCTTGTTTTTTAATAGGTATAATTTTATTAAGAATAATGCATATTTACGAGTAGTTAGATATGTTACGGGCAAAATAGGAAATCGGGCATTGTTATATTTTGGGCAATGTAAGAGTGACCATTTTAATACTCAATTTTTTCAGACATTGGCCGGGCATTACACAGATTGCCCGGGCAAAGTGTACCCATCCCGGATTCATGTGGACAAAGTGAATATTAATTACTGCACACATTTATGTTGAATGGTATTTATACGCATAGGCGTGAGCACGGGGTGCTGCACACTCTGTAAATATGTATGCCTACTTTAAATTGTTGATAAAAAATTGTTTAATTATTCAAAAAAAGCATTACAGCAGTTAAACTATAATCACTGCTTTGCAAAACTCTCTACAGACGACGAGAACAGACGAAACATTTAATACAATTTTTGATGAAACTAAAATGGCTTGTACTAAAATTGATGTATCGTGAAGTAAAAAGGTGTAAAGTATCAACCAAAGTAGATTATGAACATCATTCCCAACAATTAATAACAAAAGAGGAAATGAAGATAACTGTGTGTAACAGTGTTATTTATAAAATATTAAATGGATCAAAGTTCGTTCCAGTCAAGATATATTCAATTTAATTGCATTTTTTGGTAAATTATTAAAACTAGAAATAGAAAAGAAACAAATACAAACTATTTCAGATAACATTTAGTTTTTATTTTGATTAACTTAACACTGAAATTAGACTAATTACACAAATAGTCAATAGATGACAACCTAACCTAACCAAGAGGAAGTAATATTAGTACAATAACTCAGTGGTTGAACTATTAAAATAATTATAATTTAATAATACATTATATTCATCTTGTTCATGTCAAACCACTTTTAGATAAAAATATGAATTTTCCAGTAGGAGGTACCATAGGTACTGGACAATAGATTTAAAAACTATTATTAAAAGGCGGCAACTCATGTTTGAAGCATAGATTTCAAGTTTTTTTTTTATGATTATTAAAACATTCAGTAAAATGTTTTATTTGATTTTTAATATATACAACATTTAATCTAAATTGCCCAAATATAAATGGGCACTGTATACAATGCCCGGACAATGTTAACTTATTCCAACTTTGCCCTCGAAAAACGGGCATTGTAACCTTGGTTCATAGTTCACCTAAGATAATAAGATAAAAATTGCCACCCCCCTAATAAAGTGAAAAACTTGACGCCCCGGGCAACAAGTTACACTTGCCCCCCCCCCACCGCCTAAACAGAAACAACTTTAATAGAAATGTGGTAAGTGAGCACCAGCCACATTTGAACACTGTACATTTTTAAACCCCAGTACCTATTTTAAACAACAATGCCATCTATTGGGAAAAAAATTAAACATACACATACAATTATAATATAATATTTTGTACATTATATTATGAAAAATGAAATGATGAATTGTATTGATAACATAACTCGTTTTCTCAAAAAAAGTCACTTACCACTAGACAATCGTTTATTGATTAATTTGTAAATGGTGTTTGATTTCAATTATAACCCTTTATAATAAACATATTAATTTGAAATTTTTACATTGTATCTATTGAAGAATTTTTTGTTTTTTTAACCATTTTAAGTAACACAGCTCATTTACTGAGTAAGTTAGAATTGATGTGTAGGATTGGAATAAATGCATTCAATTATAAATTTTTTAACAAAAATTACAAACTATATTTAAGTTACATTAAGGTATATTGGTATTTAAAACAAAAAATACAAGACACATTTTTATTCATCTTCAGATTCGAGTTATCGTCAATCTACTATATTATGATTGTACTATGATAATATATTTAACTTATTCACAACATTTATCAAATTATGCATTGTTGGTCTTTTTCAAAAACTTTTTATATTTTGGTGTAGGAACAAAGGATACACAGTATAAAAAAACAAATTAAAATTAATTACTGATACAAAGCAATATATTGATGATACAGCTTAGGTTTTGAAAATATTTTAAAAATTTGAAATCAAAATAAAAACCAAAAAAAGGAACACAAAAACAAAATAAATATGTATAATAATATACAATTTTTAAATTAAACAATCTTTTTTCAAGCTTAAAATTAATATGATGAATTTGTGTTACAAATGTTATGAATATTGCAATACAATAAAGCAATAATTATAAATTAAGTCAATTAAAGTATGGAGATTTAATAATTACTGTGAAATCAATATGCAAAGGGAAAAAAAATACAAAACAAACTTGGCTAATTGTGTTATTGCGATAGATATACACCAGGCGTTTGTGGCAGGCATAGACATAAAAAAATTATTGTATACACTATAGGTACACCTATAAATGTTCACAACATAGAAAGTTTAAGCTACCTAGTTCATTTATCAATAGATTTGTAGTACAATTTAACACAATCGTAATACACTCTTTATATAAATATATTATAATTACAAAATTCTCTAAGCCTCGCATTATTACAAATGTTTACGGTTTTAATTTTTGTGCAAAATAACGAAAATAATAAAAATATTATGTGGCGTTTATACGAGTGTATATAAATATATAAATGTATATTCCGATTGTAATTATTTGTAGACCTCATTATAAATCTGATAATGAAATAAACGTTATAAATAACATTTTGATAGGTATATCTATAATTAATATGATTTTACATAACACTACCGAGAATATATATATATTGTAAATAGTAATAAAATCTTTGTAACA